CATCCTCTCTGCCCGTATTCGTAAACACACACTGTGTATAACTGTCTACTCTCACACAGCTCCTCATCATTATGTTTCGCGTTAGCCTGAGCCATGAGAAAGNGGGACGCACCCCCCATTCCCCTCTTTTCCTCTTTCAATTATTTTTTTTCAAGGGCACAAAACTGTTTTCTTGTTTGCTTAATTCACCGGATTTATACTATTCCCCCTAACCATAGTTCCATCCCCTTTGGTTTGGGATTTTTTGTCGGGGAACCAACCTCAAGGGGAACCCTTCAAATTACAAAAACCAAGGGCACGAAAAGAAATTTTCAATACTGACAGGTTAACCACGGTAAATCATTTCACCACCCCTCCCTTCCATTTTATTCATTATTCAAGATAAAAGAATACCATTTTAACAAGATTAATATTTTTCTTTCTTTTTTTGGCAAAATAAATAAACTTTTATCAACATTTAAGAAATATGGCTGCTTATCCAACTCTAAATACATCTACAGCCTCTGAATTCATTGGCGCTCCACCAACTGCTCTATTCCAGAAATATAAAGATGAAAAAGAACAACAAGAAAAATCTGATGAACCAACTAATTCAAACGTTGAAACTATAACTGAAACTAAAGAAAACTTCGCTGTTCTAGAAAACGAAAAATATAATGCTCCTCAATCCACCGATATCCAAAATGATATTAAAGAAATTATAGAATGCGAGCCTTCTGAATCCAAACCGATCGTTGAAATTGTAGAGTCTGATGTTATTGAAAAGATTGATAACGTGGAAATAGATGATGACAAAGAAAAATTCATTGAAAATAAGGACAATTATGAAACTTTGGAAAATGAAAAGTACAATGCTCCTATAACCTCTGATTTCAAAGAAGAAGTTAAAGAAATCATTGATTGCGAGCCAGTGGAGACAAAACCAGTTGTTGAAATAGAATTATCTAAAGATGCTGCTCCAGTTAAATCTACTACCGTAGATGCTAATTCCACAACAAATGATTCAAGTGAAACAACTTTAGTTGAATCATCTAAAGATGAAATTATCGTAGATCAAAAAGATTTCGTTCCTCAACCAAAAAAGTTACCATCTTTGAAAGATCTTCCAACTTTGGGTAATAGTGCTTCTATTCCATTAACTCCTGTTTCATGGGGTCCAAAAATGTCTCCTAAAATTGTCGCCCAAGTTAAGCCTATTAAAGAATTCCCAAGTTCTTCCAAAATTGGTGCTAAACCAATGCGTTCAAGAAATATTCAAGAAATATTTTCGATTCAAGAGGCTGACCAATTATCTGTTTCAAAAGAAGCTTACACGAATATTGTCAATTCAGTTAGAAAAACGTTTAATGTTTCAGTCGAATCAACTGTCTCAAAATCTTCCCGTACTATTTTAATCTCTGGTGACCGTTTGGATGTTCAACTTTCAAAAAGAGAATTGCTAAAGAAACTTCAAAAACCTGTTGATGTTTCTTTCAATATCTTAACTTCATGTAGATCTGCTGTCATTGGGTTAGGTGGTAGAAATGTTCGTGAATTAACTACAAAGTATAGCGTCAGAATTCACATAGGAGAAGAACCAATTGAGAACTCACATGATGAAGAATTTGACGATACATTGACTCAGGTTAATTTAAATGGTGACACCGAATCTGTCGCCATTGTTAAGAAAAAGATCTTAGATATAGTTAAAGAGGAAACAAAAAACGCTACCTTTAGAGTCACAATCACCGACGAAGCTTTAATTCCATTCATTAATATTTCAGATTTAATCAAACAAGACAAGTCATCTGTGAAATGTAGATTCAATCAAAATTCAAATGAAATTGTGGTAACAGGTTTACGTGAAGAAGCTAAGTCAAAGTTTGCTGAAGTAAAGAACTATATTAGCAATTTGAATTCCTCATTAACTAACGAGAAAGTAAAGATTCCAAATAAATTCCAAATTTTAATTAATAATAAGGAAATCAAGGATAAATTTAATGTAGATGTCCACTTTCCACAAGAAGCTAATGACGAGTTCGTGAGTTTCGTCGGACCAAGTGATAAAGTCAAAGCTGCAATTGATTATGCAAGAAATACTTCAAAAGAATTTGTTGTTGAATCCCTTGATATTTCTAAGTCTCACAGTAATAACATCAAACACGCCAAAAATATAGTTTTATTTATGGAAAAATACGATGCACTAAAATCTATCACCGAATCAAATGAAGGAGTAAGAGTTGTTCTTCCAAATGCTAAACTGCTATTAAACTCTGATCACGTTGTAATCAACATCGTGTCATCTACTTCCAACACTTCAGGATTAAAAGCAACTAGAAAGGAATTGATATATTTTGTCGATAATATGAACACATCTGATACATTAACAGTAAATGATTTAGATTATCAATTATTTCATAAAGAAGCAAAAAAGATTTTAGGAGATTTAGAATCAGAAATTAAATTCATAATGTTAGGTGATTATCAAGAGAATAGCGATGAAATTGTTTTGTTTGCCCAAACAACAGATGACGATTTTAAACCTTCTGCAGAAGAAATTCAAAGAAAGTTAGATGATGGTAACTCAGCCTTGGACCGCTTAAGAAAGGCTCAATCTACCTTACATTCTGAAATTATTGAAATGGATTCTAAGTCTCAAGATGATCTTCTAGGTGAAAATTCCCTAACATTAAGTTTAGTATTAAAGGAAGTTAATGATCATGAAGGATCTATTCAAATCAAGATTCATTCTCCAGCTGAAAATGAAATTTTATTAAGAGGTAATGAAAAATCTGTTAAAGTTGCAAAGAAAGCATTAAACTTGATCAAGGAATCTCCTTCAAGAAATTATAGGGAGGTTGTCGAAGTTCCTGCAACTGTTTTATCAAGATTTATTGGTGTGAAAGGTGCAAATATTCAAAGCATTCGCTCTTCATATGATATCACTGTTAATATCGAGGAGAGTAATTCGAAAAGTGCATCAAATAAAATAACTGAGGTTCTATTGCTTGGTTTGGAATATAATGTCAAACGTGCTCGTGAATTTATTCATTCAGAAATTAAGAAATGGTCTGATATTATTACCAAGGATTTCTTGGCACCTGCTAAGTATCATAAAGGACTTTTTGGTCCACAACGTTCCAACTTGACTCATTTACAATCTAAGTATGGAGTCCGTATTGTGTTAATGAATGACAACAGCGTAATATCAATAAGAGGTCCATCTCGTAGCGTCAACAAGACCTACGATGAATTCCAAGCTTTGCTAGATTTTGAAATAGCTCATAGCAACAGAACTGTTGTTAAAGTTCCTACTGAACATATTCCAAGAATTATTGGTAAAAATGGTCAAAGAATCAATGATTTGAGAGCCGAATATGGTGTAGAAATTGATTTTGTTGAAGATACATCATCTGACGAAATAAAGAACCGTGAAGAAGTTGAAGTAGAAATAATTGGTACCAGAGAAGCCATCAAAGAAGCTTCTGACAAGGTTCAATCTATCATCTACGATACTGAAAATTTCGTTCTTGAAAAATACGAAATCGATCCTAAATATAATAAGGCAATTATTGGTTTAAATGGTACTGTTTTGAGAGATATTATCAGTAAGGCGGGTGGTGATCACTTGACCATAAACAGACCAGTCAATGTTCCAAAGTCTGGATCTAATGAAGGATACATCACTATTCAAGGTCCAAAAGAATTTGTATCCAAAGTTATTAAACAAATTGATACTATTATTTCCAACATCGATAATACTGTATCAGAGAGTATTGATGTCCCAACTGAGAGATTAGGTGCATTGATTGGTCCTGTAGGTACAATTCGTCGTCAATTAGAAACTGAGTTCGACATAAAATTGCAAATTCCAAACAGAAACAATAGATCCGGTAAAGTCACAATTGTTGGTTTACCTGAGAATGTCAGTTCTGCTAAAAAGAAGATTGCAGAGCTTTTGGATGATAAGATTGACTTAGAGATTGAAGTACCTGCTTCAATTCAAGAATTTGTATCTGAACGTGGTGCCTTCGTTCAAAGATTACGTTTACATGAATTTGTCAATGTCAGATATGGAAATTCGGCTAAGAAAGTAGCAAAACTAGATAAAGTTCCAATTAAGATCCCTGTTGAAAAAGTCAGGGGAGATGGTAAAGAAGCTTTAAAATTGACTATCGAAGAATTGTCCGATTTACCAGAAGCCTCTACAGCTGAAACCATTGTTTGGAAGCTATCATATGAACCGTTAGACATAGATGGCTTATTAGACTCCGATTCTAGCAAGAATACTGAAACCAGTGGTTCTCCAGCAGAAGAAAGGGCTAAACATATCGAAAACGCTAAATCTTTAATTGAAGAAAGAATTGCTTCTGCTCCAGAAGCTAAGTATGCTGGTTATATTTTCTGTTCTGATATAAAGAAGTTTAGCCGTGTTATTGGTCCAGTTGGTTCAAGAATTAACAAGTTAAGAAGCGAATCTGGATGTATCATTAGCATTCCTAAAAAATCTGATAAAATTAACGATGTCGTCTTCATCAGAGGTACTGAAGATGGTGTCACTAAAGTTTCAGAGGTTATTATGAACATCTTAAGAAATTAATTAAAAAAGTAATTTTATTTCTCATTGAAGGCATTTTATTATAGCGCTATCACAATGGCAATTCCACAAATCGTTTAATTACAAAAAAACCCTGTATCATATATGTATAGAAAATATATGTACTTACAAACAATTATGTTTATATATATATATTTGTAACTTAATTTAATTATGGATAGATAATATTTATTTGTTTTTTATTTTTCAAGTTTGTATGTTTATATAGTATATCTTGAAGATAAAGGTAAAGATATTTCTATCGATATTTATAATACTTACGAGAAGATTAAATGTATGCCATGAGTTTAAAAATTCATTTAGTCCTAAGAATTTATTCTTTATAGGTATCTGCTTTTGAATTCCTTTTATTATCTTAGTTTTGTTGTATTCACTTTCTATTGATTTTTTTTTCTAGGTACAGCAAGAAGTTGGATCGCTAGTAGCTGGTTTTTGTAATTGTAAATCTACTTGACCATGGGTATTAGTTCCATTTTGTTCTGATTTGGATAAGAGTTCCTCCTTTTTATAACTATATAGGGACTCTCCAATGCTTTTGAAAACATCATTAACTTTTTCACCTGTTTTAGCACTTACTTCAAAAAATAATAATCCTTGTTCATCAGCATATTGCTTAGCATCTGAAATTTCAACGCTTCTCTTCCCTGAATCTTCTTGGCACAAATCTAATTTATTACCAACCAAACAAATCACTAATTTATCATCTGCAACTTTGTTCTTCAACTCTTCAACCCAACTCTGTGCCTTTGATAATGAGTCAGACGCTGTAATATCATAAACGACCAAAGCCGCATTGGCATTTCTATAGTACATAGGTGCCAAAGATTTATAACGTTCCTGACCAGCGGTATCCCATATCTCAAACTTTATCACTGTATCATCCTCATCAAGTTTAATAGATTGTGAAAGGAAAGCTGCTCCAATAGTACTTTCTCTAAATTCATCAAACGAATCTTTAACAAATCTGTGAACAATTGAAGATTTCCCAACCGATGAATCTCCTAATAAAACAAGCTTGAACTGTAACATATTAAACCAAATAATATCAATTATTAATCAACTTATTATACCCTTCTTGAACTCCAATAAGCCTTTTGTTCTATTATAATTAAAAAATGAATGATTCTAAGTTGTCTTCTGTTTAATCTTCTCTTAATATTTAAAGTTTAAGTTTTTTTGGCTTCTAAACCGAATTTCAAATCAATAATACCTTCCATGTGATAGCGCCAACGCTTTCTATATTGTGAATTTATCTATAATGTATTGACGTAATCGATTTAGAAGATGACAAACAAGACCCTTTCAATTATCAATACATACAATTAAATTAGTCAGGAATTAATTATGACCATGAAAATTATGAGGATTTAGTTTATGTAAGTCTGTTCATTCTGTTAAACGTTTTTAAAATTTAAAATAATTTTGGCAGAACGGATGGTTAAAGAATATCTAGAGTTTCTCTGTCTTAATATGAATTGAATTATTATTGGTTAAATTATATATTAAAAACAAAAAATAATTGATTAAATTTAATTATTATATGACAAATGAGGTTCAAATAGTTTCATTTCGAGTATCTCTGTGTAGAGTCCTGCCCTTTTCAATGAGATTTTTCAAAATAAATTGTAAAGTGCCTTTTTTTTATTCTTTTTATTTATATATTTAATGTGGAGCATTTCTTTGCTCCTTTTTAATATTCTCCATTTCTTTTCGAATTAGTTTCTTCTTTTGTTTATTAATGACCTTATAAGTGTTAGAATTTACAATATTTACAGCATATTTGTCTGCACTATCCCAAACATTTTGATCAATGGTTTTAGGTAGCTTCCTACCGTATAAACATTGATCTACTAACCACATACCGACAATGAATGATGTTCTATCTAACGTACCATCCTTTCTGGTATCTACTAAATCGTATATTTGTCGTAATAAATCTGTGGGTAAATTAGAACGACACCATATATCTTGAACTACAAGGTTTAACATCAATCCATCAGTAGGCAAATTTGAAATTTCAAAGTCTTCTTCTTCATCCATTAATCTCGACCACCATGGTAATAAACTTAGGTACAAAAATCGATTACTGACCCACATACCTTCGTACCTCTTTCTTTCTTTAGGAGTTACAAAATTAACGTCTTTATGGGATTTCCATGGTTTCTCCATATTGAATTTCTTTGGTTGCGATATATTGTGTTGACTGTAAAAATTATAGGACAATTCATTTGGATAATGCTTATATTGACCCAATGGATTTTTCTTAAACCTTTTTTTAATACCTCTTGTAACTTTTGATTTCTCGTGAACTAAGGAATCATCTGATTCTGGCGAATAGGAATTATCATTATCTTCATAACCACTTGGATTATTATAGTCTATTGAAAATGAATCATTTCCTGAATTATAGTTGTAATAAACGTCATCTTCGTCATAATCATCGTCCCTCATTGTTGTCCGCAACCTCACATTATTGGAGGTACGAATAATTGCTCTACCATCGTTTGCTGTCACATTTGAACTAATTGGCTGGTTCTTACTAGAATGTGACCCAAATATTTTTCTCCTTATTCTACTTATCTTTGATCTTCTTGAGTGATTTGGGATTAAATTTGGCAAAGTTCCTTCATAAGTAACATTCCCGCCAGCAACTTTATTCAGAACACCGTATGTCGCCGTTGTAGTTATCGATTGTTTGGTTTCAGAGTTTGGATCTCCTGATATCTTTTGAAAAACAGGAAGTTCTGTGCCATCTGTGTTGTCAGTATCTGATAAGATTGTACTGACTTCATCATCATACTCGTCTTTTTGCAGAACTTTCCCACCCATATTAGCATTTTCACTTCCATTGGCTATTAGCTCACTAAAATCATTTCTAGACTTGGTTTCCTCTATACCATCCAAATCATCACCATTACTCTCTGAACCTGTTACATATTGAGACTCCGATTTAGAAGACATAGTACAATAACTTGAATCCGAGAAATATCCATTGGATTCTCGCTGATCTGGAGAAAAGCCTTCAGAGCTTCTATTGTATTCATAATCATAATTCACTAATGGATCTAATGTTTCTCGAGGTGGTGGGATTCTTTCTAATTGAATTGTTGAAGGTAAAGCAATTTGTTCATTATCACTACTCAAGGAAGTTTTCATTGATGTACCTTTACCGGATGACCTTCTTGATACTTCTTTACCAGGTGTCCCTTTTATTTCCTCTTTGGTTGAGGACTTTCGAGAAACATCTTTCTTAGAATCACGTCGTGGTTGCTTCGAAGACGAATTATCATTTGTGTTGATTACTGACGGTTCAAGTTTAGAGTTAGGCCAAACAACCTCTGTTGATTGTTCCTGAGGCGACACTTTTGATGACGGTTTGATATTTTCTTCATCTGCTGTTCGAATAAATTTTTGCCTACTATCAATGATAGGTGATTTCAAAGAATTTGACTTTAACATAAGTTCCTTCATATTTTTTTCATTAACATGATTTTGAGATTTTACTAACATGTCATCATTTTGATGCTGATCATGATCAGAAGTCCCTGGAGAAAGGTTATCATCAATTTGTAATTTATCCATTCTCAAATTTAAATGCAGTTGTGAATTACTTTTAAGATCCCTTTGTTGATTCAAATGCAATTGTGAGGTGCTCTTTGTATCTCTATGTGGATTTAAATGCAATTGACCGTCTAAAACTTTAGACGCATAAATTTTGTCTTGATCTTCAAATTCATATCCTCCTGTTATATTATTTGCTGCAACAGCAGCCATTTGTGCTGCATTCTGTGATGAATAAGAGTTCCTCAATTTGGGTCTCTCTAACAGTGGACTTGAAGCAGTCAATGGTGAAGCCAATTGATATTTTGTGGTGTTTGCATTCGGTACCTCTGTCACTATAACAGGTTGAATCTTATTAGAATGATTATTGTAGTATACCTCTTGTGGTCTCAGATTTTTCACCAAATGATGTTCATTATATCGAGTTGCTGCTCTATTCGATTGTCGAAGTGGACTCTCCACAATATCTGCTACCTCTTCCGTATTATCTAAATTATTATTATCACTGTTACTTGCATTCCCTAGAATATCGCCAGCACTGTTGGTAACGATGATGTGTGCATTATTGTTATGCATATTATTATTGTTGTTGCCATTGTTGTTGCCATTGTTGTTGCCAGTATAGACGTTTGAATTATTAGCAATAGTTGGGACACCACCATTACTACTTGTTGTTGTTTGTCCATTTGTCGAATTGCTCGAATACTTCCTAAACATCAGCTGGGCAGCGACAAGGGAATCACTCTGATCCCTGGAATTCAGTTCAGTAGTCTGCGGTCTACTAGAAACATTCGTTCGTTTCTTACTAAACCTCATGTTAAGCTCAATTATTTAAATTCAATATTTATCATAAACAAGTAAGGCTACCTCTCCCTATTTTTTAATAGTTTTCCTTTATTATTCTTCTAGTAATCGTAAAACAACCATCCAAAAAATTGGACAATCAAAATACCAATTTTTAAAACCAAATTCAATCACTAGATCCTGACCAAATAGTCCTTATATGTCTATATCAATATCAATGACGTTGTCATTTCTGTCAATATTAACTAATTTTTTTATGAAATATCAAAAATTTGATGCTTATAACGTAAAATTCCGGATATAGTAAAATATTTGAAAAATAAGACCAAATTGCAGGTTTAAACAGTTGATAAATACTGAAGGATAAGAGGGTCACAGGTTGATCAAACAAGTTTATAATCCTGTTGACAGTGTTGTTTGAAAGACTATTGTAAGGTACATTGAAGGAGATTTTTTCCTGTGGCTTTGGAAACGGTGTATATATAGAGATTCGCAATGACTGAACAGATCAGTCATAAGAAATCGTTAAGGATTAAGAATTCGAATAAAGATAAAAGGTTACAGTTGAAGGAGTTTTATAAACTTAATGAAGAGGTACAACAGGACAAAGTGAAATCAGATTCTAATTCTTCTGCTTCCTCCCCTCCTCCTATCCCTCTTCCGGAGGGCATAGATCGAGTTTCAGACACTGATACCCAAGAGGTCTCGATAAAAGAGAATAAAGAGGTTAAACCAGTTACTGATTTTGATGATACAGATTCAATAGATTCTAGATCACTGGAGAATATGGAAGATAAATCGGTGAAGGAACTGTATTTCAAAGATCTACTTCATATGCATAATAAGCTACTAAGTAAAGAAACTGAAACTAATAATTCGATTAAGAACACAATTTATGAAAACTATTATGATTTAATTAAAGTTAACGATTTGTTAAAGGGAATGGTAGATGAGAAAAGTCAACCGTTGAACGAGCTTAAAGAAACCATTGAATTCATTATACATTAGATTTTATTAAATTATCAATTATATCAAGATTTTAAAACAAAAGAGATTAAAAAATTAACATTAGCATTTGAGAGTAGTGGATATGAAACTATTTAGGTTTGGTACGATTATATTATTGTCATAAATATATATATATATATATATACATTAGGATATATTTTATCAATTGTTCTATTATGTACAAATTAAACTAAATTATCGAAATTACCTTTATTATTAACAAAGATGTCAATTGCAGCCATAGCTGCATATAATCTGTTTTCAGCCTCATCAAATACTATCGAATGATCACTGTAAAATACTTCATCTGTAACTTCTTCATGGTGTCTTGGTAGACAATGCATAAATACATAATTTGGATCGGCTACAGAACATAGTTCTGAATTTATTTGGAAACCTTTAAATTGTCTTAATTTTGCAGCTTTGGCAAATTCTTCACCCATTGATACAAAAGTATCAGTAACTAGAATATGAGCATCCTTTGATGCTTCTTTTGAATCATGAGTTAAAGTAAATTTGCAGTTATTTTTTATTGCTATCTTCTTAGCTTCATCAACAATTTCATTATCCATTTCAATGCCAATTGGTGTCGCAATAGCGACATCGATACCAACTTTTAAACATGCAATAGACATATCATTAATGACATTGTTAGCATCACCAATCCAAGCTAATTTTAATTTATTTTGATTGTAGTTTAGTTTTTCCTTTATTGTCAACAAATCACAGATTGCTTGTAATGGATGGTATTTATCACATAATGAATTTATAATTGGTACTGATGAATCTTTGCATAGATTCAAAATATCTTGATGTTGGTTGACTCTTGCGAATATACAAGAAACCATTGATGAAACTACTTTTGTAGTATCATAGAAAGATTCATTTACACCTAATTGGATATCATCTTTACCTAAGAACATAGGCTGACCACCAAAGAATGCTGCTGCACCTTCTGTTGAAATTCTAGTTCTTGTTGATCTTTTAGTGAATATCAAGGCAACTGTTCTACCTAATAATTTTAAATGTTGTTGTTGAAACTCTTCAATGTTACCATTTTTAAACATTTTCTTAAAATATTCAGCTCTATCTACCAATATTTTAAACTCTTGATCAGATAGATCTTTGATTGATACTAAGTGACGCATGTTTTATTGTTGACGATATTATCCAATTATTAATAATTATGAAACCTTTAGTTCACTATATACTAATTATCTTATCTACGTATATATCATTATTAAAGTTTAAAAACTGAACTGGGCATAGCAAAGACACATTCCAAACGACCCATTGGTCTTTATATATTCCAACTGATCAATCAATTTTATCAAGGATGAACTTTAGAATCTTCATTAAACTGGAACAGACATGTTTTAAATGAACCATAACAAGAGTACCAATCCGAGTTACTCATCTTGCATAAGTATGAGTCTTGTAGAGTCATAATACACTTGAACCTAACCTAACCAAACCAGACCAAGTCAATCTAAACTAGACTGGCTGACAAGCAATACTAGACTTGTCATTCCAAAGTAATATCATTTAATGAACAAAAGGATGAAGCCATCAGCAGTAGCTACAACAACTCAGACCTGTATGGATGAGCCAGTAACGAAGTTCAAATCCAATCCAGTCCAATCCAATCATGATGACAAGTTTGTTACAAGACAAGACAAGAGAATAATGAAAAAAGATAGATAGAGATATTGGTGGGATGTATGAGTCATTTACAGCTGACAGCTCCATACTATGGATGGCCAAATTATGCAATGCAACTGCAAGACAAGAAGAACGTATTAGAACTGTAAAACTACATCAGTAATTCCTTTATTTATATGACGAAATGCTATTGGATTATGAGTCACACAACACAACCTGAAAGGGTTCACCAACTACGAACACGATGGATGTGAAAACAAGGCGAGACAAGGCAAGGGGAAAAGAAGAAGAGAAAGGGGAATGGGGGATTTAATATATGTACGACTTACCCAGAGTGCTGGCCTGGTCAGCAAGTCATCGTTGAAGTAATTTTTGCCTTGAAGTAAATTCATCCATATACTTTGCTCATCATTGGATTCCAATAACATCTGGTTATGTTGATCATCCAACAACACCATCATAATCTATTTACAAAGACGAGGTTCTTGACGTGTGAAATTAACATTAATGGAATGGAGGATATGTATTTATGTATATGTGTATATGTATTTGTTTTTGAATATATTATGTGAATATAATTAATTAAGTGGGTATTTTTGAATGTATGTATATGTGGACGTTAATAATAAAGTAGATTTAGGATTTCGAATGAGTTTATAAAAATACATTTGAACAAAACTGTTCTTTCTATGATTGGTCGTAAAGCTTGTCAACACTTAATAAAGAAGGAATTGTAACTAACGTTCCAGTATAACTGTTTGCATTATTGTTATTGTTGTTATTATTACTACTATTTGCACTAGTGATGGTGTTATTCTTATTTGTAGGTTTGTTTGTTATCTGTTGTGAACTACCATTGTTAGATTTTGTTTTCCAAAGATTTAACTGCGATGGTTGTTGTAATAATAACATATCTGTAAATGATCTTGGTGTCTCTACAAGTAATTCATTCATGTTCGTATTGGTATTGGCATTGTTATTATTCTTCATACCCATTATTGGTTGATTATTATCATTGCTTGCTTCCGTGTCGGTAGACAATGAAACTTTTTTGTCATTACCAGAATTGTTATTCAATTTATCAAAAATTGAGGAATCATTGCTTTTATTTAATGAATAATAGCTTAATGTTTGGCTTTGACTCTCTGTTTTGATACTGCTGCCATTCAAATAACTACTAGATGACCTTCTAGAGATGGACTCTGTTAAAATAATATGGTCAACCTTATTAGAATTTTCATTAACATCAATCTTGTTTTTACCCTTTTTCGTTACTGTGGTCTCTTCATTGTTACTAGAATAATTACCAGAATTCATTCTATGAGAAGGAGGTTTAAAAAATCTTGTTTGGAATAATGAATCATGTCTTTTCGTATTAAATGGTATTTCTAAAGGCTTATTATCCTCAAATTTTTGCTCCTCTTGAACATCATCTTCATCATCATCTTCTGCATAACCGTCATCTGATTCTCCTTGGTTTAATAATATTTGAGATTGATAATTTGACATATCAATTAAATTATTATTACTACTAGTTTGCAATAATGACTTTAATGAGAGAGAATCAAATACAGTTGGTAATACATTATTGTTTGCGCCAGTAATATTATTTGATATGACTGCTGCTGTTGTGGCATTTAAAAAATTATTAGATGGTGAATTAGTCATTTCTGCAAACATATTAAATTGATCCATAATTGCATTTGAATTTGATTTCAATAAATTAGATCTACCAATAACAAATGACATATTAGAGTTATTAATTAATTTATTAGTGTCGTTAAAATTTGAAATAGATTGCAAATAGCCTAATCTATTGAATTGCAATGAATCTAAAGTGTAAGGAATTTTTTTCAATTTAATATCAAATCTAAAATTTTTTTGTAAATCTAACAACAAAGGATTCTTCAAATCATCAAAAAACCATAATGAACAAAATCTAATTAAAAATGTTTGATATTTCATAAAATTCCAATTTATTGGCAACTGTAGATCATTATCAAAGTTTTTCAAATTTGAAATCGACCATAAATTTAAATATAACAAACAACTATTAATAATGTCATCGTTTTTAAACGGTAAAAAATATAATAATTGGAACTGTTGTGGTTGCTCCTTTATAGTCAAATTATTATCAACTAATAGATTATAATATGTTAATAATATTTGGAAACCAGACTCCACGTAATTAGTGTCATTAATGAAAATATTATCTAATGACGGTAAATGTTTATTATCAAATTTTTTAAAAAATGATAGAATCAATGAATATAATGATAATTGTAAGTTAATTGAATCCTTTTTCGTCAATGAATTATTTAAATAATTCTCATTGTTATTGAAAAACATATTACCTTTCAAAAGAATATCCTTAAAATTTTCCAATTGATAATTCAAATTTTCTATATTATTTGAATTAGAATCCTTTTTAATAGTCTTTACGAATTTTGATAAGATTATGAATTGTGATAAATCTTTATTATTTTTTGAATTTAAGAAACAGTCTTCTTCAAATTCTATCTCTAAATCAACATCTTTTAAGAATTTTGAATATGAATTTTTATTACCAAAATTTTCTGACCACAGATATTTTTCATCTATATTATTTATAATTGACCATAAATTTTTCAAAAATCTAAAACAAGATAAATGAATGATTTTATTTTGAATTTTGAAAGTTGGTAAATTTAAATTTTTATAAATGAATTCTGTTGTTAATTGAAACAATTGTTTTAAATTTATTGATGAATCGTCAGTTGAAATGGTCATAAAATAGTAAATTGATAAATTCAATAATTGTAAAATCTTTAATTTTTGATTCTTTAAAGATTTATTATTTTCATTGGTTGAATTAGTGTCATTGTCAATTGAAGAATTTAAACAAATAAATTTAGTTAATTGAAATAATTTAAAATTATCAAAACATGACCAATTTAATTGAATTATAAAACAAATGACTAAAATATCTATTGAAGAAGTTTGCAATGAATTGGATGATTTTAAACATTTTTTCAATGATTGTTCCCATGAAGTTGAAGGGTATAAAATAGGTATTAAAGAATTTTGTAGATTGAGAAAGTTATTAATTGATTTAATGATCAAATTATTTATCCGTGCAACATCCATGTTATATTTATTTATTAGGAAGTTGGGTAAATAATTAAATTGTGAATTTAATTGTAAATTTGTTGATAATAAAGTTAATTGGAAATTGTTTGATAAATAATTATTGTTTTTGTTATTATTGTTTATCACAACGGTTGAATTTAACATTATTTTATTATTAGATTTTATATTTTGATTGATAACTGTCCATAGGTTGGTTGTATTTGATGTTTTATTTTTTGTAATAATATCAGTTTCAGAATTTTCAATATCATTTTCGTTACCGCTAGAACTACAATTTGTGCTAATAATGTTACTACCATCAGTGGTTGTTTGAATATCTATTTTCATATTTGAATGATTTTCTTCGAATAATTTTAATTTTTTTTGTAATAATACAACTTCTTTTTCTAACATTTCGGTGTAACCTCTTGGGAAGCCACGTCTAGTTAATTTGTCACTTGTTTTACAAATGAAGTTTACTTTTAAACATTGAGAACAATTTGGTTTTAAACCATCACATTTAATTTTTTTCAATCTACATCTGTCACAGGCTTGTGATAATCTATTCGATAAAAAATTTGAATCTATATTTACAGAAGTTTTAACCAATGTAGTTGGTTGAATAGAACTATTATCAACACACCCATATTTTCTTTTCTTCCTGTTTGAGATTGAGTTATCATCATTGATAAGACTCATGTTGTTAATAGTATTTTCATTTTTATTTTTATTTTTGGCTTTGTTATTAATAATATTATTGTTATTGTTATTGTTCAGATCAGTGTTGTCATTGTATAGCGAAACATCAGTTTCGAATTTTACATTAATATCTTGGAACATTTTTTGGGATGAAAAGTGGAGAGAGTACAAGTACAGGAAAATGAAATAAAGTAAAGCTAAACTGAATTATCTTGAATTGAATTTAAATAAATGAATAAAATTAGAGCACATTACCTTAACGATGATATGCCGTGAACCCCCCTTTAAGAAATACAAAATATTGTGAAATGGAACGTATCAGGAGCAGTAAAAAAGTTGTCAAGACTAGAAACCTTCTAATAACCAAAATATGTAAGGCTTATATATGTCCAAAAATAAAATAAAAAAAAATAATAAAAGATTGAAAAGGAACAAGAACAAGAACAAGAACAAGAGATATAAGTTAGTTAACATAATATTTAAAGACACAAAAACACAGAATAAAATTACACAACATTTTACACAAAAATTAAAGGATCTTAACCATTAGAATAACAATACTAATGATCTTAATTTGTATCATCATTATTATTCTAATACTAATAGTAATACAAATAGTAATAGTAATAGTAATAAATTAATCAGTTACTTAACTTAATATTTTTTGTAGTTACTTTTATTACTTGGTAGTATCCAATACTGTTTCTCTCGTCTCTCTCTTGTCTCTCATGTTTTTTTTTAGTTTTAATTTTTAAAATTTTTGTGTCACTCATTCATTCATTCATTCATTCATTCATTCATTACCTATCTATACTACTGATACTCACTCAACTACTATTTATTACTTTTCATTTAAGATCAAATTTAATTTGTTACACAAAAACCAACCACGGACGGGAACAAGAGCAATAAGTTGAAGACGAAGACGTTCCTTTCTCTTTCTCTGTGTTAGTTTCTCCCCACCCCCCCTAAACTGTGAACTTTGTTTAACTTGCTGTTTCTGGCAAGCAAACCAGAAATAAGAACAACTCTGGATACACAAAAACAAACACAAAAACAAACACAAAACCTTTTGTGGATCTTTCAAATTTGTCTAATACCACAAACATTACTCCAACATCTTATCCCTTTTGTCTAATTGCCGGAGACACACCCAAACCAAACCTCTGTCCACTCTATCTATAACTTGATCTCATCTCTCAAATCATCATCATCTACTGACTAAACACACCAAAATTATTTAGATGGATGATCATTTTGTCTTGTTGTGCTTGATTTTTCAAAGTGTCCTCTCCATCTTTATTCTCCGATGGGACCAACCAGTCTCGTTTCTTCTGACTACCCTCTCTCTCTCTATCTCTCACCACTCCCCTAACTCTTTGATTGCTTACTCTTTCTCCGTTACGGAAACCCAATGTCGTGTCCCTTGACAATTGACATGTTCTTTTTGGGTTAGCTTTGGGAACTTATGCTTGGCTTGGTCTGTCTCGATTCGGTATCCAGTTAAACATCAATTATTCTCCGTTCCTCGTCTATCTACCTCTTCTTCCTCTTTTTCTCTCTTCCCTCCACCTTCAATTGCCCCTTATACGGTTTCATTTTGTGTGCACTTATTTCTCAATGTACGTGCGTTTTTGCAACATTTCACTCTCCTCTTCCCTTCTTTTCTTAGCCACTTCTCTCTACCCCACCTCCCTCCAACTCCAGCTACTTCCCCGGGATATCTCAATACGCCTATGCTGGCACTCGTACGGTTGGCACGGACTCATGCAGAGAAAAATATCCCCGGGGACAGGGATGACTCCACATATCTCAGGAACATCTCAAAACCCCTAATTATATCTTTCGATTTGTTTTATTTACTTAGTTACTTAGTTTCGTTACTTCTAGTTATTCTATTTATTTGGGTTGTCTGTTTCATCTTTCCCCACTATGTCGCAGCCAGTTCTTGTCAGTTCTTGCTACTCTCGCCCCCCTCTCCACAAGCGTTTAATCAATCGGTTGGCTTCCGAAACACAACAACGATACTTCGTTTGGGTGGCAACCCTTGAAAATATCTCGATTTCTTTTTCCTTGGCCCAACAGTTTTCAATTGTAGTAATCCTGTTTCACCTAGAGATATACTTAACGGCGTTAATCATAGACACTTCAGAGTGTAGCTTTGAGTGCACTTACATTGCCGCCGCAAGACGACGCACACACTTCGAGTGGAATAACTAGCGGTCTTTTTGGGTCTAGATTGACCCTTAAAAGTAGTTTAGAGGTTATATATCTACTCGAATCAATACCGTTTTTACTGTAGCCGCAGGAGAAACAAATATATATATGTATAAAATTCAAAATAGCGATTTTAGCCGCCATTCTGCTTCATCCTTATTGGGTCTACATAAAAAGAATGTATTCATCTCAGACAAATAGAGGAGGTTGAACCGGTTCTGGCTGCTTGTTTTTTTGTTCTTTTTGTTCATTTTTTTTAGTAGTAATTGTAAGTTCAAGGGGCGGAACTGGAATATAACAAATTTAAAATTAGAAAAGACATAAACGTCAGTTTTGCTATATGTTCCTGTTACCAGTGTAAATTCATTACCAGAGGGGGGCTAGTTGTCAGATTCACATACCTTGGCTAGGCGAATATATATATATAGTGTCAAGAGTGAAATCAATACGAATTCAGTATCAGTTGAAATAAAAATTGTAAGAGTCCGAGATCGGAAATATATTTTCCACGCTTACATTTTCGGAGTTTCTCTATTGTTTTTTTTGTGTGTCTTCGTCTTGTTTGTTATATCGGGTTTTAGTTTCTCTGTTTATCCTATCTAGTCTGAAAATGAAAATTTGAAAATTATTTTTGTGGGTATTATCACTCTAAACTAAAGGATACCGATCTTCGGAAACCCCATGCTGGCTTTAAACAGCAATATGATACGCATTCAGCCCGGTGTAAAGATGTTTATTCGAAATGATAAATAACTGTATTTAGTGTCCCCCCTCTCTACTCCCCATTCCTCTTTTCCCCATACTATCAAACATTCAATTAAAAATAAAAATATACATTTATATCCTTCATTATACGAAATGCAATGTTGTTTTTGTAGACACGATACGATCACATGACAAGATAATTTTTTCTATTATAGTCACGTGACACATATACATATGTATTTTGGTTTTTAAATTCTTAACGCGTCTTGGCGTCATTTTGTTTTTTTCTTTCTTTTTTTTGAGTATTTGTTTTGGTTTATGTTTTGATGTGCGGGTAAAATATATCATTTCAGTAACCTCATCATCAATGAAAAGTTTCGAATTATAAAATTAACATTTATTGCAACTGAATCATGCAAGGCAAATAACCATATTTCAAATAAAACTATCTGATTGCCATCGGATACTTACCAGTTATCCGTCTACTAAGTTCATCACTTGTTGCTTAAGATACAGGCAGGCAAATGAAGCCATTCCAAGGTATTTCATTTTGCCCTACTGGGTTTACCGATGAAGATTTATTAAGATCTATATCTAAAAAAATTATCAAACTAGGTGGCACTTATTCTAAAGATTTAACAAATTCGGTAAATGTAATAGTTATAGGTCATTCTCATTTAACTCATAAATACAAATATTCTGTGAAAAATAGATATGATATTATTTTCTTATATTATAAATCAATTTTAAAAATTTATGATTTATGGCTATCTGGTGAAGATGTGACTTGTTCAAGTCATTCGAAATTTATGCATTTGAAAAACAACAACTTAGAAAGAATGTTACTCGTATTGAAAATAAATTACACCGCTTCTCCGTTGCACAATTATCAACTATTCATAGGAAGAATTTCAAATTCAAATTTTAATATCGATGATTTAGTCAAGAAATGTGAAAAATTAGGTGTTTCCTATTGTAACTCAACTAATTTTATAATGAATTTTAGCGTCACTAAAAATAAACCTGTATTATTTATAACAGATACTTTAAATGGAGCAAGAGTTGATGCTGCAAGAGAGAAAAATTTACCAGTTGTACATTTTAAATGGATATTAGATTGTGAAAGGAGAAACGCAACATTAGACTATGATCCTTATTATCTTTTAGAAAACAATACAAATACACCATTTGAGAAAATTGGATTAGAATCTTGCGATTGTTGGGATAAATTACAAATCGATATGACAGACGATATAACAACAATAAATTCATCATCAGTATCTATTTCAAATATAGATCATAGCAATGAAACATCAAAGCAAAACTCAAATCTACTATCAAAATTCAAACCCCGTGGTAATAAGTTATGGGAAAGAGTAATGAATAATGATAGTACAAAAACAAAAAATATCATCACTGCGGTAAATTTAGATTCTACTGATATAGATACTGAATCGAATTTACAAAACAAAGAATTATTACACCAATTAATATTTACAGATTGTCGATTTAAAATAATAAAAGATTTCCCATTAAAGCACTCACAAATATTAGAAAAAATTATAATCCAAAATGGTGGTACTATGGATGATATTGATTCGAAATATAAATTTATCATTGTACCATCAAACGTCCCGTTATATAAATTAAATATTGAAAAAGGGGACGAATCTTTCACTCAGATTACAGAATTCTTCATTGAACGATGTCTGCATTATAAGAAATTTCTATTTCCAGTAGATTCTTGGTCAAAACCATTTTATCATACCGATAACTTTAGAATTAAACCAAATCCAAAATTATTACATGAAGCTCAAGAATCAAACAGCGACAACCCTAAATTGAACGTTTCTATTACAGGTTTTCATGGTGTTGAATTATTGCATTTATTAAAGATATTAGATGTTTTAAAACAATTTGGAATAAACTATAATAAATTTTTAAATAATTCAACAGATTTATTAATTATAAATTTGTCATCATTAGCAAGTATTCCAAAAGATAATAAATTATGGCAAAATGAATTTAGCGATCTGTTTTATGAGCAATTAAATTCAAATATTAGCACAAGTAACAATCAAGTCTTCAGAAATTCCATGAAGAGGAAAATTGAATTTGTTAAGACGACACACCAAATTCCAGTAGTAACACCAGTTTTTCTCATGAATATATTCAAACTAACTAAAAGACTAACCGAGACAGATAAAGAACTAATCCATTTCAATAATATAAGTTGGTGCATTCTTTGTCCAAGAGGTAGGAAAGAAGATTACACTTGTCAAATAAAGCATATTCCAATCAAGAACTCGATAAGTTCAAACATAAACAAAGCTGAACATATAAGAGATTTATTCAAGATGGAAAATATACAATCCCAAAAAAGAAAGCCACCGACGAGGAAGATTCCTAATGAATTAAATATTTCTAATTCCATTTTGCCAAGCGATAATAGAGAGAAGAATGTTATAAATCAGGATTCAGATATTAAGAATAATGATAAATTCGATTCAGAAAACCAATTCAAGAAAAGGAAGATACATTCTGGAAATGTAATCAAACCTGTGGGAAGAACATCAAGTTGGGGGAAATTGATGTCTGAAGAAGTTTTATTTCCTGCTTCTGAGTCAAATCAAGATGCTGACACTTTGAGTCTTGATAGTACAAAATATTTTGATGTACCTGGTACAGAGGCCAATTTAAATTATACCCAGGTTACTTACGGTAAATCTAATTCGTCTGAGATTCATCAACGACCAATAAGAAAACTGACAAGAAAACAGATGCGAGAAATTGACAAGAAGTAATTTCAATCTATAATAATTAACATTAAACGATTCCAGCATTCTATATAATACTGCATTATGTAATATCAATGATATTTCAAAAATAAAAATAAATATACCAGTTTAACTATTCATTTCTTGTTGCTTTTGAATTAAAAGACTACCCAAAGATTAATTTTTTATTTTTTATCATCTTGTATTGAATATATACTTGCAGTTGTTTCATAATTATTATTGAAATTAGTCTATAATAATAATTTCACCATCATTTGCCTTTGCTTTTTTTTTAGCTTTCGATAATTGTGAAAATATATCCATCTGACTCGAAAGTTGTTCTTTCTTGACATTAATTTTCGTATTACCCTTTATCGATGTCTTTATGGATTCCTTTTTAGAAAACTTTACTGCATCAGCCAACCTCTTTGCACTCGCAATAATTGGTCGATTATCTATCAAATTGTCAGTCGGGTCATGTAATAACTCTGCCGCGGTGGTGTCTTCATCTTTCTTTTCAAAAAATTCATCATCTCTTTTAGGAAGTGTATCCATAATATCGATAGCGTCTACTTTTACTTTTCTATTGACCCTTAGTTTCGCTCTTGGCATGGGTGAAGAATTGATAGTTTGTGAATCAATGTCACTTACATCAAATGATGTTTCCTTTCTTATACCCATTCCTGAATTATTGTTAAGAATTCTATACGGTGCCTTTGATAATGTCGTTGATTTACGTTTCGGTGAGCTTCCTCTGCTACTGACTTCATATGAATTCTCCCTCGATAGAGAGATCTGATCTTTATCAGTAATATAACTCTTGTTACCATTTTTGGATTGATTTTGGTTAGATCTCGTTGGAATATACTGAGGAGCAAAGCTTTTTTGCATTGAATAATTCGAGGAAGTTTGCTTTTTAGGGCTATACTGGAGTTTTAAAGTAGTTTTTGCGATAGAAGCTGGACCTGGCGCAAACCGGTTACCATATGACTTTGTATTATTTTCCAGCTCGAGTTGAGCTGCTGCCGTGGTGAAGGAATTTATATTAGTAGTTGAATTATTTCTGCATAGGTCCAATCTGTATACATCGCGAATAACATTATTATGCCATATCATCTTTTCTCGGCGGTTTTCTATAAAGGAGTTATAGTCCTTAACTAATTGATCTATGGAAAACATGCTATCATTCGAAGAAATCGTCTTATTCAAAGCCCGATACAAATTTTTTATCGTTGCCTTACTGCTAAAAAGTGTTTGTGAATCTACCATTGTTTTAATCAAATCACTTGTTACAAACCTACTTGGGGTGCTTCGTATACGACCTTCTTGATTATCCACTGATGATAAATATAAAAAGTATTTTGCTCTTGTTTGAGCAACAAAAAACATCCTTCTTTCCTCATCAATTGTGTCAGACGTAGCTGGCTCGGGCCCCTTCTTTGTATTGGCGGATTTTTTTGATGGAGAGTTTTGGGAATCATCATCTGATTCTGCATCTGAATCTGTTTCTTGAGAACGAGTCTGATCTTCAAATATTGAAGGAATAATACCCTCATCACAGCCAGGAATAAATACAACTGGCCATTCAAGACCTTTTGCGCCATGAATTGTTGATATAGTAACAAATCCAATTTTTTCCATCTCTTCTTTTTTTCTTTTCTGTTCCTCAGTTTCAGCTTCCTTATATGAATCTTCAGAATACAGGGATAGTGAATTCAAAAAGTTCCTCGTGTGATCTCTAATTGTTCCATTTAAAGCGTTGGAATGCTGAGTTTTTTCATTACTATCTGATACTATATCTGAGACACTCCTACCCAAATAATATGATTTCAACAGTTCTACATTCTTATGCCTTGGGTTTTGCATAGCAGGTTCTGCCATATTTTTATCCTTATTATTCTTTCCGTCATTGTATAAATACTCATTCTTCAATCCAGACTGATCATATAGCTTCTCATATAGGTCACCTAAATCAGAATTTTTTACTGAATTCAATGAATCTCTGCAAGAATTTATTAACTTAACAAAATTGGTTACTACTTGCCTAGCCTTTGCTGGAATATCGACATTTATACTCTGTCTAGCTATTTTTTCTAGAACTGTAAAGGATGGATCTTTATGTTCCTCCAAAATCGCATTTATTCTTTCGGCGGATGTTTGCCCTAACCTCCTGCCGGGAATATAATGGAGGACAAAATTGGCTTTTTTTCATTATCTGATATTAGACATTTAAGTAAATTAATCACTGCATTGGTTTCTTTTAAATCCCAAAAGGCATGCCCTCTTATAATTTTGTATGGTATTCTATGTTCAATTAGTGACGTTTCTATACTTTTAATCTGCCTCCTTTGTCGCACCAAGATAGCAAAATCATTATAGGAAAATAAATTTGGTAATGCCTTTAAATATAATAATTCTCTTGTTAGAGATGGAGCCTGAAGAAAATTCGTTGGAAACTTTATATAAACTGGGCGAAAATTCAAATCGAATTGTGCTGATAGAGGTTGTCTATTTACTCTACCGTTTGTTTGTTGTTGTATCAACGTTTCACTTGTTGTTAAAATTCTTTGAGAAGAACGATAGTTTTGAACTAAAACGACAGATGAAGTTGGCAATGGACTCTTTTGTACCATAGATTCGAAATTTCTGGATAGGGCGTTTCTAAATGCATATATACTTTGATCTGGATCACCTACCACAGTTATACCTCTGGATTGATGGTGATTCCCCTTTGCAAAAAGGAACATTAAATCTAGTTGAAGTTCATTTGTATCTTGAAATTCATCAACTAGTACATGTTTCACATGAGGCAAACAACGTTCCTTAGATAATAGTCTAAATGTGTACATTAATAGGTCATCGAAGTCTAATCCATTTAATTTTAACAACTCCCTCTGATATTCTCTATAAAAATGAGACAATGCCTGATCTGAATCATTTAAGATATCATACTCATCTGGTAAGATAGCGTCTGATTTCAATTTACTGATATATTTTTTAACTAATTTCGGATGTACAACCCAGGTATCATTATCTTTAGGTAAGCACAAATTAACTTTTCTAGTAACTCTATGTGCATGGTCATATATTTTATCTGGCATATTTTTAATTAGTCCATTTATTATTGCATCAACTTCTTTATCGTCAACTATTCTCCAATCTTTTGATAACGAGATTTTACTTCCAAACCTTGTTAATATTTTCATACATATACTGTGGAATGTACCAATCATAATATCAGATACTCTGATATTGGTCCCTTTCAGCATTATACCTAATCTATCAATCATTTCTTTGGCTGCTTTATTCGTAAATGTCGTCACTATAATATCCTGAGGTTTAATCCTATGTTTTAGAATTAAATATGCAACCCTTGAGGTAAGAACCTTGGTTTTCCCGGTACCAGGCCCTGCTATCACTTGCAAGCATTGTGTATAATCAAACTCTACAGCTTTCTTCTGTTGAGTGTTTAATGAACTTAATATATCAATTAATATCTTTTCTTCTGACATTTTTCCAAGCAAGATATATCTCTCAATGAGAACAAAAGAAATGTCACTATTTTAGTAGATAACCAAAAAAATAGCCCCCTCAGATCCTGTACCTTTTAGAATATAAATGATTTTTTAATAACAACTCTTTATAATTGACAAATTATCCATCAATTCCGAAATTGTGTTTCTTTGTTAGAATCTAATCTTAAGGGCTCTTTTCTATTTCAACTTATAATGTCCTTCTGAAGTAGTTAATCGTAAAACAAAGTGAGCGACAAATTATACCCGTTACCACCAATTGACGATCTAAGGAACCAGACCTGATATGTTATTGTATAGTTAAACAAAGATTAAGATATCATGGAACTTTTTAATCCATTATCAAACTGTTTTATTATAGATTTATTTATTGATCAATACGCCAAATTGATATTACGCGATGAGATGACCTCGTGACCAATGACAATAATACCGATTCAATCCTGATATATAGGTATCATTTCAATTGGCGATAACAAGAGTTTTGAGTTGCTTTCAGGACTAGATATATATATTCCTTTTTATCTTTGTCTAATATTGATCTTTAAAATGATGGTTCAATCATTTCTACAGCTTTAGAAATGATAAATAATTCATTTAGATTATAGAATTGAAATATAACTAAAAATAAAAATAAAAAATTATAGAATTGATTAGGAGACTATAGAAACTCACAAAACTAATAATGGAAATATGTGCATGAGGTTATGAAATTTGGTATTTGTTTCTTCAGTTTTGTTTCTTTGATGATTCCCTTAGAGATTTCATGACTTTCTTTCTTTGGGCAACCATGTGTCCGAACAACATTGGTAAACCTGGGATGTAAGTTAGCATGGTACCAACCAAGAACCATTTCAATTGAGTTGAATACAATTCTTCAGCAACAGCTAATGAAGAGTAAATAATTGTCAATTCACTGGCGACACCAGTTGGGTACAAAACAATGAATAAATTATATCTTAATAGTAATAGGAATTTTGGAGCACCATTTTCACTAGTCAAAGAGAAAAAGTAGAATAGATATCTTACAATTTCAGTAATGGACCAAGCAGATAGTAAAGTTATATAAGCAATACCACTTGCGGCAGGGGTTGATGGCAAATATTGGAAAATACCAATAACTACCAATAAACGAGATGCGACTTGAGCAGCAGTAGTCAACAATGGAGAACGCACAATACCTAATAGAGAATTAACAATCTCGATGATTGCACCACATTGGACAATTGTAACGACATTCTTTGTCTTGGCATAAAAACCTGGTTGACCAATAATAGGGTAAACAAACACAACGCTGTATAAGATAAACCCCCAACAGATTGCAGAAACCAAATTATACAAAGCTAAAGGTGAAGCTGGAGAAATTATCTTCTTACTACTCATACTGTCTAATTGATATTTAAAACTTGAGTCAATCAATTTCAATTTTGTACCTGATCAAATTAGCTTGTTCCTATTATAACCAATATTTATCGTAAAATAATAATTAAAATTTCAACAAATCCAAACTCTTTTCCAATAAAATTATAACTGACAACAAACTGAACAACTGACAACAAACTGAACAACTGACAATTATTTTAGACCTATCTACAATTAATTACCAACAACAATTAACAATTCAATTCTGATAGTTATGGTTCATTTATCCTGATTTCCTTTAATATATATATTTTTTTCCTTTGATATCAGAATAGTGAAAAATTTAATGAAATTTGTTGGTCAATTAAAGAGATAGATGGCATTTAAACTAAGTGTGTTTTGGATAATTTGGCGGTATATAGGACACCAATAGTTGATATTTAACAGTTATATTATTTGTTATTTGATTTACTTTGGGTTTCCAGAACGATTGGTTTTAAAGGGTTAATTTTTGGTTGATTTCTGTACAATAAAACTGGATATAACAGTGTTGACTTTAAGAAACGTATCAAGAATAAAATAGAAGATAATAAAAGGATGGCTGAATTTAATATTACAGAAACGTATTTGAGATTTCTGCAAGAGGATCCTGAGTTGACTATGCCTGTTGCTGCTATTGAGGCATTGGTCACTTTGTTGAAAGTCAAGAATCCAGGTACAGCAGCTGAAATGATTAATAGTATTAAATCCGCAACAGAAGAATTAACCAAGTCCATTCCAAATTCTATGTCTTTAAGAGCTGGTTGTGATGTTTTTATGAGATTTGTATTGAAAAATACTCAATTGTATGGTGATTGGGAAAGTTGTAAAAGACATTTGATTGAAAATGGTCAATTATTCGTTTCAAGATCAAAGCAATCTCGTGATAAAATTGCTAAATTCGGTGTCGATTTCATCTCTGATGATGACACTATCTTAATCCATGGGTTTTCAAGAGCTGTCTTCTCTTTGTTGAGCAATGCTGCCAATAATTTTATTAGATTCAGATGTGTTGTAACAGAATCAAGACCTACAAAGCAAGGTTTGCAAATTTATAATTCTTTGCACGAAAAGGGTATCCCAGTGACAATGGTAGTCGACAGTGCAGTGGGTAGCATCATTCACAAGATCGATAAGGTCTTTGTTGGTGCCGAAGGTGTCACTGAATCGGGTGGTATTATTAATTTAGTTGGTACTTATTCTATTGGTGTACTAGCTAAAAATGCAAGAATTCCATTTTATGTTGTAAGTGAAAGTCAAAAGTTCGTTCGTATGTTCCCATTGTCTCCAGATGACTTACCAAGCTCAAATGAATCCTTGGATTTCACTAGACAAAATAATACAGGCAATACTATTGAAAACGATAATGTAGAAGAAAACCTAAATGGTATACTACGTGGACCAATAAATGATTACACTGGTCAAGAATATATTACTGCATTGATCACGGATTTGGGTGTCTTGACTCCAAGTGCTGTATCAGAAGAATTGATTAAGATGTGGTATGATTAAATCTCATCGTTTGATTTTAAAAGGGACAAGCTCCCTCATGTAACAACAATAAAAATATTATCATCGATATATAATGCATATATACTATCAATTATAAATTTCAAGTATTAATTTTTAATGATTTTTTTTTGTAATTTTGTCCTGTCATTTCCAGAAAATATCCAATATGTTATTACACTAAATTTGATGTATAATCATCATCATTAGTTATTGGTGTTAATTTATGTTCACCACATTCTTTTATAATAGTGTCTTTAAAGTATTCTTCATCCATACCTTCCCATTCTAAATCAATTGGAATTTCTTCATCGGCAATTTTATGTGCCATTAAAGAACCAGCTAATCTATTTTGGGTTTGATCATTTACACTTTTAACCGACATGGTAATTACATGAGCTCTTTGGGATGCATTTGAAATATTTTGTTTTGAATCTTCCTGCCTTTTTTGCTTATTAGAATCATCAATGTAATGAAAAATGGTCTGAATTGCGATACTCTATCTATAGGTACAAGGTAAACCCGTTTATCCTTCACCAAATCCTCATATGACCGGGGTTTTTACACCAACCCCTCTTAGAACTTGAACTGGTGTAGTTTCCCAATCTTTGTCCAACTTATCTTTATGAAAAAATGATTTTTCATTAATGGGACATCTAATTCCCAAACTGCTGACTTTTTTAAATATCTTGCATTTGATATCATTGGATGTGAAATATCCTTACGGCCAGCCAATTTAGCTTTATTAACATATTGAAACAAATTTAAACCTTTACTGTCCCCAACTAAATTTAAAGGATATTCAATCTCAATAGGATCATCATCATTATTCTCAGAATCACTCATCACAACATCTTCTGCAACATTACCCATAGATGCTTCTTCTTCTTCAGCTACAAATAAAGTATTCTTAGACATATTAAATCAACTGTATCCCAACAAAATTCACCAAAAGCTTATAATATAAATCAATTATAGTACCTCACACAAACAAAATATATATCCTACAACCTCAATGATCTTGTAATATCATTTTGATCTATCAAATTCGTATCACTTTCATTCCATTAAAGGTTTCATTTAAACTTTTCACTATATGGTATTTGATATTTGATATTTGGAAAATTTTCGAAGCGATGAGATGAGATGAGATGAAAAATTTAAATCAAGTAATTAACTATAAGAGAGATGAGATTATTGATTTAAAATAGAGACCTGATGTTGTTGTAATTTTGATTTGAATATTGATTTTACTAGTTTATTAGGGTGTTGTTGGAATAGGTTGAAAAAGAACCGTTCTATTTGAGTAATTATCGAAGATGATTGAAGACGATGGAATGTTGCTGAACTTCAGTACTGACACTACTGAAGATAATAATGATTCGAAGTTTAATTCTGGTAAGGTTACTGGTGGTCGTTGGAAAGAGAGGAGGAAGTTAAAGATGATGATGGAAGGTAGGGAACCTGTTAAGAGAAAGACGTTTGAAGAATTGGAAAATTCTGATATGGATACTAATAAGAAGCCTAAATCCGATAGTAGTGGCAGGAAGAGTTATAATCAGCAAAGTAATAACGAAAGCGTTAAAGATGTTGTAAGACCAGTTGTTAGTAAAGTCAACCCCTCTCAAGTAAATACTCAAATTGTTTCTTCTCTTTTTACTGCTGCAAGACAAGTTGAAACTTCTGTTAATATTAATGAGCACGATGACAAAGAAGAAATTAACCCTTCCAATGCTCCATTAGCTGCTGATAATTTCGATTCTTTGAAAATTGAACAGCAATTAGTTAATCATTTGAATGAAAAAATGAGAATTCAAAAACCTACCAGTATTCAAAAATTAGTTCTACCACAGTTATTATCCTCTAAAAATAATGATTTATTTATTCATGCACAAACTGGTTCTGGTAAGACATTGGCCTTCGCTTTACCAATACTGTCAAAAATCTTGAGCATGAAGACAAGAGTGGATCGTAAATCTGGGTGCTTTGCTATATTTATTACTCCTACAAGAGAATTAGCTACGCAGATTTATCATGTCTTGTCTGAATTAACTAATTGTTGTCACTATTTAGTTCCATGTTTATTAATTGGTGGTGAAAGTAAAAAGTCAGAAAAGGCAAGATTGCGTAAAGGTTGCAATTTTATTATTGGTACCCCAGGTAGAATATTAGATCATTTCCAGAATACTCAGTCAGTGAAAGAACAATTAGCTGTTTCGTTAAGATATGTCGTATTGGATGAAGCTGATAAATTGATGGAATTAGGGTTTGAAGAAACATTGACCGATATTCTTAAATTAATTCATGATATCTCCTTAAACACCTCAGTCTATCCACAACTACCTTCTCGTATTATGCATATTTTATGTAGTGCCACTTCAAAAGGTAGTGTTACGAAGCTTGGTAATGTCGCCTTACAGAACTATAAGATGATTAGTAACTCTCATGTCACTAATGAATTAGAAAATGCCACTGTTCCTGATCAACTATTGCAAAAAATAGCCATTGTTCCTCCAAAATTAAGGCTTGTTACACTAGCTGCCACTTTAGATTCAATCCATAGAAAGCATATTGAACAAAAGAAGAAAAAATTGGATTATGTATCCCGTACAGTAGTCTTTTTATCATGTTCTGACAGTGTTAATTTTCACTTTGAGGCATTCTCATCTAGTGATGCAAACCATAGAAACTTGGTCGGTGAGTCAGCAAGGTTATTAACAAAGGGTAATGACATTTTACCTTCGTTTGATCCAGAAAATGATCCAGATTTCATTTGTTACAAATTACATGGTTCCTTATCTCAACAGATTAGAAGTTCGACTCTGCAACACTTTTCTAAGACAAATGAAAACGTTAAAGGGAAGCATTTGGTTTTGTTTTGTACAGATGTGGCAAGTAGAGGTTTAGATTTACCAGAAATTGGTACAGTTATTGAATTGGATCCACCATTTGCTGTAGAAGATCATCTACATAGAATTGGTCGTACTGCTCGTGCCGGTAAGCATGGTGAATCCTTACTGTTCTTACTACCAGGTGAAGAAGAAGGTTATATGGAATATATTAAGCCATACCACACTAAAGGTTGGAAACTAGTCAATTATACTAATGACTTATTGAAACCATCATTCCAAAACGTTAATGTTAAGAGAAGTGATAAAGAAACATCCAAAAACGTCGAAGAATGGGACACCAATGCCACAACATGGCATTTGAACGTTGAAAGACGTGTCCTAGAGGATTCAAGTTTCAAAGATATTGCAATGAAAGGTTATGCGAGTCATATCAGGGCATATGCCACTCATATTTCAAAGGAAAAAAAATTTTTCAATGTCAAATGTCTACATTTGGGTCACTTAGCCAAAAGTTTTGCATTAAGAGAAAGACCTAAAACTATGGGCCTTCAGAATACTAAGAATGGAGGTGAAGCTAAGAAAAATTCAAAGGAGAGTGCCAAGAATAAAATGTTCCGTTTGGCACGTATGGCAGTTAAGCAATCATCTGGAGAATTTAACTATTAAAATCAGGGTATGTTATAGTGTATTTTTAATTAATTAACTTTGGGAAGAATATTTTTTTATTTTTTTGTAATGACTTTAAATAATTCCTTTTATATATGCATAATAAAATTCATAATTATAGAAGTATTGTCACAATGCAGAAAAAGTCAATTGATTAACATATGGTTACAACTGTTATTACAATATATATATATATGTATGTGTGTGTGTGTGTGTATTTAACTGAAGAAATAGAATTATTCAATTATTAGTTTATTTGATTTGCTTTTTTCTGTAATCAGCAAAACTTAATTTCTTTTTTAATGGTTTCAGACTATCTACAGAATCTCTTCCCGTTTTAATGTCTTCAGCAATGGTAGTAGGATTAATACTAATAGAGTTCCTACTCTGCGATGATGGGGAAGATATTATCGTTTGGGTTACAATTTGTTCCTTAGTTTCAGGATCTCTAAAAATTCCTTCACTTTCTTGCGGAGTTTTAGGATTATTGCCAGCTGGAACTAATGAATTGTTTGCGACTTCATCAATATTTACGTCAATAATAACAGGAAGTTTATCTAGATCTGATATCGATAATTCATTATATTCTGATGGTCTTTCAATTATTTCGACGTCGGATTGATTTCTAACGCTATTCGTGACTTCTTTAGAAAGTAATTTCCATTTATATGGTTTCCTTGAAAATTCATTATTTGGAGTTTTATTGGGTAATTTACTTTTTTCCTCTGATCGAGGATCTGGTTTTTCTTTCCCCATCTCCTTAGACTCTAAAAATTTTAATTTTTGGGAGTTGTAATCTGATATCATCTCAGTAGCCCTTTCCTGATTATCATATATTTCATGTGCTAATCTGATAAGAATATGTGGCTGTCTTCTTCTTTTTCCCTGGTATTGATTCAATATTTCATTTAATTTATAACGGTTATTCATTTTTGATTTAACTGACCTAAACATTGATTGAGAATATTTCTTAACTTTTAGTAGATAACAGTCCTTGTTGTTATTACCACATGCACAATCGCAGCTTCTTAATATGGTATCTACCGAATTTATCAATAAATATTTTTCAGAATCATTTAAAGTATCAAATACAACAGACGCATCATCGCCAATTATTTTCCATATAATATTTTTTTTATCCCACATCCACGGTAAGTGTATTTCATCACCTTCATCTATTGCTCTAGTGGCACGTAATACAAATTTTATCTTTGATTTTCCATTTTGGACAACTTTGACCGTGCTTAGTTTGACATTTGGGTTGCAACTTCTTCTTATGTATCTTGTAGTATTTCCTGATAATCTTGAATCGATATATAACGGCCATTCTGGATGAAAAAATACCTTTGGTTTTGATGTACCCCATATTCTATAATGATTCCTAGAATCTAGAACATACTGACTTTTAAAGTTAACATCACCTAGGACTTCGTGAATAAAAGTTCCTTTCTCACAACTTTTACGTAAATAAACACCCAGTTTGGTAAAACCTGGGAAAATTCTGGCATACGTAGCGTCGGAATAAGATTTAACTTCAATTGGTAATCCCTTAATATGGCTGCTACTTGAAACTGTTTTTATAAAATCGTCATTTTCATGCTTCTCCATAAATAATGGAATATATTTATCATAATAAGTATTTTCATGAAGTGGTAAATACATTGCTTTATATGAACTTTTAGCAGATAAATAGAATACTTCTTGTTTCTTCTTTGTTGCATTATTGTTAGTGTTATTGTCAATTGTAGAATTGCTACTTGTATTATTATTGTTATTATTACTATTAACATTAGTATCTGGTTCAGGTTTCTTTGATTCCGGTTCTGTTGCTGATACAGTATCATTTCCTTTATTATTTTCTGATTTCGATCTTGTGTTATGATTTGTTGAATTTCCAGTATCATTAGTTTCGGTGGGGGTAGGAGCAACTATTGGGGCCTGATTTATCCCTAAGAGCACAGATTGTTTTTTAATTCTATTCAACTGTAATTTTCTTGCTCTTTTAGTATCTAGGTTTCTTGGCTGACAAGTATTACATAGATAATCTTCAGGTACATTATCCATATCTTCTATGCTATAACAGATTGCATGTTGCCACCTGTTACAATGGTCACATTGAATACTAAACCCATCATCATCGTCAAAACCACAAATACAGGTGATTATTCCTGAATCTGGGTCCACTATATAATCATCAGAAACAGGCCATTTACTACTATTATTGTTGCTATTACTTTGTAATTTTTGTCTTTTTTCATCCTTCAAAAGGTCACTATCTTGATCTTCTGAATTTGCCCTCTTCAATGGAGCAGCTGGATCCGATTCTGGAGAGACACCTGTATTTTCAATGTTGCTTGGCTCTTCTTCAGAAGGCTTACTAAAGTTTGAAAACATTAATAGTGTTGAAGCGTCTTCCAACATTGATTTCTCATTTTTGTTATTATTACCTTTAGATTTTTCTTTTGCATCGGTAGACATAACTAATTAAACAGTTGGAAAACAGTATTAAAAATCTAATCAACCAAATATCGTGGTAGCTACAAAATATATACTTGAAAGGAGAAGAAGAAAAATAAGGAATAGGTTCTCTTGCTGCAAATTTCTTAATTAATGGACAAACTTGAATTCTTATAGCTAACTATGATTTATAATCCTTACAGTATGTAATATTTTAGCAGATACTATGATATGTACTCATTTGATATTATCAGCTTTCCTTTTATTACAATGAACGTTCAGAGTACATAAAAGTTGTTATTAAAGAGTGATGAGCTGATAATATAAGTTCAAATATTTTTTGATCTTGTTAGTAGAGCAGGTATTTTAAATTTAAAATGCTTGTGAATAGAAACCAAAACATGTTCGTCAATTATGATGTTGGTATGTGAGTTTTTGATACACGTGACAGGTATATCGCGTGATGTGTAGTTTGTTCCAAGTGAAATGGTAACCAGTTGGTCAGGAAGAGAAAAAATAAAAAAGTTAAAGGTAATGAATGAATGGATCGATAAGTATATCGTTTTAATAATGAACGAATGAATGGGTATATCATACCAGCAATCTTGTAAATGCCAGGTTAAGTATTTCCATTGGTTACTTGTTCTTACATATAGTCGAGTTTATTTATAAACATGGAAGTATTTAGTGTACATGCAGGTACATTATCTTGTATGAAAAAAAAAAAAAAAAAATCTGGAGACAGATCATATCTGGTAAATTCTATTAAACTAATTCAACCGAGAGGGCGTTTAATGTGAGATAGCAGAGAAGTTTAAAATAGTTGTTGATATTTTTTTCTCATTACTTGATGATGTAGGATACGATTTTGTGATGTTGTTAGTGTTAGTGTTAGTGATGCGATGATACGGAATCAGTGTTATCGCCGGTGTCGTAAGCTAACTGCTCAATCAAGTAATCCGTATGATAGATGACCTATCAGGAAAAAAGTGAGACATACACTTTCGAGACATACGTGGGTGATTGACAAATTTGGATGTTTGTCCCTCTTATTTCGTCACCACTAACGAAACTATACATTTATATCTCGTATGTATGCGCGTGTGTGTGTGTGTGTGTGTGTGTCTCTCTCTCTCTTAATCTTTCAGAGAATACAATACATACATATAAAAACTATGAAGATAGAACAACACACATTCCAGAAAATATAGCATAACAAAATAAATCCCACACATCAACGAACATCTTGATATCATACCAACCGAACAACATAATCATCAATCAATCCATATAGTAAATACCCTTCCCTTCCGTGCCATGAAATATGTACAAAACCGGACAAGTTATCTTTAGCGAAACAAGAGAAGAAAATAGATACAACAACGACAACGACAACGACAACAACAACAACAACAACAACAACAACTTCGACTACAACAAGAACTTTTGAAGATTGAGTATGCCATTTCGTTAAACTCTCTTATTTCTCAGTTTATTCCGTCTTCCTAGGTAAATAAAAGACAGGGAGACTACCAAATCTATATTTATAGATCTTTAAACGGACAGACGATGGAGTAAGCAAGGAGCAAGATGATTTTGTAATTGTCCAATTATCAGTTAATCACTCGACAGATAGGGAGACAAACACACAGGCTCGCTCTCGCTCTCTCTCTCTCTTTTTCTTCTCTCCCCCATCATCATCACTTTCCCACTCCAAAAACATCATATCATATCATATCATATCATATATGTCTTGTTATTGATTTCGAAACGTTCTTGGTAATAGATAACAGAACATGATATGAAAAATGTTCATGTTTCTGCTGTTTCTGCTGTTTCTTTTCGATATCTTTTCCACAAGCTGAGCTGTTATCTCCTACATTTTCTCTCTGTCTTTCTCTGTCTTTCTCTCTGTCTCTCACGCAAATAGTAATAATTGTTTCTTTTTATGCTTTGATATTTCCTTTTTCTTTTTTATTTGTCGGGTTCTTACTCTGTTTTACTGGCATGTATTTGTCTTATTTTATTCTTTCTTGTCCAGAATTCGAAAAATTGTCTTCATCAGTAATCAAATCAATCAATCAATCAGTCAGTCTTTGAAATTTTATCTTGTTTTGCTTTTGCTCGGATTACTTATTTAAGATGAACGAACTTATCGAAACACCTGTATCTGTAATCAGGATCAGGTATATATATGTATTTACAATTGCATTCATTGATTGCACTAACTAGCGGTTTCTGGGAAAAAACAAAAATTTACTGGATTATTTCGTTTGTTTGTCCGGTCAATTGCTGGTTAACTAATTAATTGAGTGAGAAACATAGAAAAAGTTAAGATAAAACCGTCTATTTACTTTGAATCCGTATTTTAATTTGTTAGTTTGGTATTTTATCTTTCTTTTGCCTAGAATTAAAATCTGTTCGGATATATAAGTAGCTTTGGGTTTGGGAGAAACAAAATAAAATAAAATAGAATCTTTGTATTTTTCAGTGTCATTTTAAGATAGTAATAGTGAGTTGGTTGTAAACACATACAATAGGAAACTTTTTGTTGTACTCTTTGACCATTCGTTATCATCCAATTGGTTTTATTTTATTTCAGTAATTTTTCAGTTTTGCATTTCTTTTTCTTCTGCTTTTTTTTTCGTTTTACGTCCTGGTATCCTCTCCTCTATTGAATCCGTGGACGCGATAAGAAGAAGAAAAAAAAAAGACATAATTATTTGTATCCCGATTAGATAAGATTAGATAAGATAAGAGATTTATCATTAGAAGATAAAGAGATAAGACATATAGAAAATATTGGTTTGTTTGGTTTGATCTTTTGATACTCTTTAATTGCATTGAAAAGTACTGTGTTTGGATTTATCTATTTTTGGTTTAAGACACACTCACAGTTTTAAAAAAAGACTTTATCCCAGCAACAATTGTTGGAAATATATCAATTTGGAAATCATAAATGAGCATCGATACTCCTAGCACTTCCGGTGGTGTTCAAACTGCCACTACTGCATCTTCAGTAAAGGTTATGTTTAATGTCAAAAATTCAGCAACTCAAATCAATGAGGTGCCCGCTAATAACAATGACACTACTAGCACTGTTACTAGTAATACTTCTACTGCGGACAGACCAAGCCAACATGAACAAGATGAGAAAGTAGATTTGAAAACAATTAATGAAAATGAAACTGGTAGTACTGATAATGAGGAATCAAATTTGGAAAGTAAAGATACAAACAAGAAGGAAGCTAGCGATAGTGAAAACGATAATAAAAATCAGCAATTATCCGTTTGCAAAAATTGTCTAACTTCAAAAACTCCACTATGGAGAAGAGATGAAAACGGTGCCATTCTATGTAATGCCTGTGGTTTATTTTTGAAATTGCATGGTAGACCAAGACCAATAAGTTTGAAGACAAACATAATTTTAAAAAGAAATAGAAAAAATCATAGTCATGCAAGTATCGCTGCTGCTGCAACTGCTGCCGCAGCTGTATCACGGCATACAGGTTTTTATCCACGAGTTACACCAAACGATCAAATCCCAAGGATAACTACCACTATTGATATAACTCCTAATGGCTCAAACCCTAAACGTTTACCACAGAGCTTTATAAAAAATAAAACAAAACTATTGTCAAATTTAACTCAAACTAATTCTATGAAAAATAGCGGTAGTAATAAAATATTAAAACCAGATATTGGGAATGGAACAAAAATTTATCATAACATAATTCAACACAATCCTCAGCATCCGGCGGATACTCCGACCGCATCAAATGATCATACTGTAAAGGCATCCTCGTTGTCACAGAATAATGTTGGTATAAATTCAAATCATTACCACAATCTGCAAAGAAATAATGTGGAACGTCCAGAGAATGGTATTAGTCAAGATATTCATCAACCTCAACAATCATCAATAAGCTCTCTTCCCCCAGCCAGGAAAATTTTCCTTTCTGGACCATCTTCACAACAAACTTCGGTTGAGACAACTCCTTCTAATTCTCATCCTAAACATTCACAGTCTCCAGGTCCACAGCTTCCGCATCTCTCTGCATTATTTGACGATGTAAGGAAATCTAAAATTGATAACGTTCCATCACAGGAGCCACCTAATGTACAAAAGATGAAAACTAATCGACCTAATTCTCGTCCATCTACCTCCCATCATTCTACCTCTCATTCATCTGCGTCTCACACTCCCATTTCTCATATATCTCCTTCCCCGACACCTGTTGCTCTAACTGCTACCTCCCAAACACCTGTCAATGTAGAAGAAGCTAGAGTTCAAAGCATAAGTCAGCCAAGCAAACAGTTGGCTATTGCACTGGAATCCCAAGAAGAAATTATAAAATTGAAATCTAAGGTTAATGAACTAGAATTGATGACTGATTTGTACAAAAACTACATTTTCGAACTTAATGAGAGATGTGCCAAACTTGATGAAGAATTAAAAGCTTTTAAAGATTTTGAAGCTAGAAGATGAGTATATAATGTAATGTCAAACTAATAACTAAATGATATAGAGATTAAATTAAGTAGTTAAAATAAAACTTCATAGTCAAAACAATAATGATTTATGCTTTCTTAAATTGGGCAATTATCAAGCTTAAAGACTCCAGTATAGAAGCAGAAAGAAAATTGGATTTAAATTGTTAATATTTCTATATCACCATTACTTCTTCCTTCTATCAGCCAATCTTCCTTATACTTTACGAATTGTACCTCTGACTTTATAAATGAATAATTTTCATTTGGAATGCAATGATTGTTTTCCTTCCGTCTGAAAATTTCAGAAGTTTTACCTCCTGTTGCACTAACGACATTGGCTGAATTGAAATCTAAAGACCAGACAGGTGACTGATATCCATATGAGTTAACTAATGACCAATTCCTCATATCCCATATTCGTATATTTTTATCAAGAGAACCTGTAATCAAATTGGTCATATCAAATTTCAATGAGGTTATTGCATCTGTATGTCCTTCTAGAATACGAATCACTTTGCCTGATCTCAAATCCCAAAGCCTTATTAGCCCATCTTTGGTTCCTGATGCTAAAGCTGATTCGAAACACTGAAGGCTACCAATAGTTGGAGCTTCTGAATGAGCGAAATAGTTTTTTTTAGTTGGTGAGAATTTATTCTCGAATGGTGGGCTGTTATTTAAGTAAAATGAAACATCAAATGTCTGGACACATTTTCCTGTTATTAAATCCCAATGTTTAATAGTCTTATCTTGGGATCCTGTTAACAAATTAAAATTATCGTAGGAGATTGAGGAAATTTCATCGGAGTGAGAATCACATTCGAAGATACAGTTAGTTTCTTCATAGTAATTCTCTATATCATTATAATTTGTAGAATAGTCCTGAAACTTTTTTATATCCCAAAGTCGAACCAAACTATCTCTCCCACCAGATATAATGATCTGTTGCTGTGTATCAAGTTGCATACAGTTAATCGTAGAGAGATGTGCATTAAAACTTCCGATAAACTTAGATGATGATAAATCCCATACTTTAATGGTATTATCTAGCTGACCAGCAGAATATAATGTTCCAAATGGTTCATCAAAATCTAAGCATGTTATATTATTTTCATGTGCATTTTTTAAAGCTGATAAAACAGTACCTATTTCGTGTTTATTTTTTGCTTTTTGTTGTCTTGTATCCTCACTTATGTAGTCAACACTGGAACCAGAATAACGAGAGTTTTTTCCTTCTAAATTAAATGTGTCGTAATTTTCAGATTCATCATTAGCGTCCTCCTCACCTAGACTGTCGTCATTATAGTTATTATTGTTTTCGTTGAACCCAAAAGCTAATTCTGATTTTGACAGAAGATTTGTGGTTTCCCATCCAGAATAAACGGATGAGCTTTTTTTATTCATATCATATTTTAGTAATAGTGAAACTTCTTCTATATTTTTACGACTTTGTTTTGAGATATAAATCATATTATTCAATTTTTCGCTAGTTGACAGTATAGTTCCCTTTTTCTGACGCAAAGCATGTTGCTTGTATTGTATATCTTCCAACTTTTTTTCTAATTCATCCAATTGGTCATCATATAGTTTATCATAAGCATTTAATATTTTCAGACTTTTCTTTGCATCACATTCGATGTTTTTCAACTCCCTTCTTGAATGGAGTTTTTCAAGATTAGTTTCAGAAATTCTGCTGAAATTCGATATGTAGCTATCAAAGTAATCTTCAGCAGTATGAGACACTGAAGATTCTGCCTTGGAATTCAGTTCATGTGGTGGGGAATCATTAAATAATTGAGAATTAAATGTATGTTGGATTGTGTCTAGAGCTAATAGAAAACCTTCGTATAACGTCTTGTTTACATTGAACTCATTATATTTTTCAATATCAGGTATTACCAATTGATCACTGGGTATATTGCAAAGGATTCGGAAAGCACATTTAGGACCACACAGTTGTACTCTAGAATATTCTTTCCCAGATAGCGCAGCAACATTATCAATGGATTGATACTTCCACAACACTTTTTCCAATACAGTTATTGGTATGCATTTCTGTAGCGAATATTCCTTCCCTATGCCATCTAACAATTCTCTTAATAGGTTAGGGACTCTCCAACCAATATCTACGTGTTTAACTGGGCCTCGATCAAAATGTAATCCTACCATTTTAGTTTTAAAGTAGTAAAAGATAAATCAGATATATATCCCCTTAATAAATTTCCACACTCTATCTATCTTCACTATCAAGTTTATATATCACTTCAAATACCACTTTATAGGCAACTTCGGTTATAATTGGTACAATATACTGCTCTTCCAATATTCTATATTCTGTTCCTATCAAAAATAAAGATGCAATTATTAATCTTATATGTCCAACTGCTCAGTATGTCACAATTTCACAAACTTAATCTTCCTAAGTCTCTACCTTAGAGATTCTACAGTTTTTATCATTATTAAGAGACATCACAACCTCCACAATAAATTGAAAAGAATCTCGTCAGTATCTCATCTAAACATATACAGGATGGCTAGTTCAAAAGTTTAACTAGACATCTGTTACTCATGAGATAGAGATGATCTGTTCAAATTCTTCGTTATAATATCTAAATCGACTTTAACTAAAAGGGTAAAAACTCAAAAATTTCTTTTCTTCCAGATCCCTTTGCCTGTGAAAAATTAAGAAATTAAAAAAATAAATACTCCGCGACGGGGAATTGAACCCCGATCTGGCACGCGACAAGCGCCCATTCTAACCATTAAACTATCGCGGATATTAATTGTTGTGTGGATTTAAAAATGTTGGTAACAAGAATTTGCGTAGCATGATTATTAAAATGTTAAAATTTTACTTTATCATAGCTAAGGGCAACCTTTACTTCCATTATCAAGGATCTCAATAGTGTTCATTTTTCTCAGAGACGTACAAATACTACTAGTTTCTATCCAGCCATAAATAAAAATCATTACAAATGGGCTAATTCCAGCATTGTATAACTGCAAACTTTTCACTGGATTCTCAAGCAAGTTATACTAATAAACTAAGTGAACTATCGGTTTACTAGATGTTTGTGAATTTAAAATATCCTGATGACATTGCTTTATATCAAGAGACAAGTTCATCACATGTTTCAGTCAGTAATTGGTAATCAATCCCTTTTAACAAAAAAAAAACGATGATGAAATAGTTGCAACCAGGACAACTTCATTATAAAGAATAGATTATTACATGGGATGTATAAGTCAATATACTTTGGGTAGTCAGAGAAGTATAGTGGTAGTCCTGGATGCTTAAAACTCAATTGAGAAAGATGTCCACAATTAAATCATATCCTCAGGAGTTCGTTAATTTCTTAAACAACTCACCAACACCATATCATGCAGTTGCTAATATAAAGGAGCATTTATTGAACAATAAATTCAAGGAATTGAAGGAAACTGATACCTGGACTGGTGCTATTGCTCCATTGGGTAGATATTTTGTTACAAGAAATAATTCTTCTATTATTTCATTCTGTGTAGGTAATAAATGGCAACCTGGTAATCCAATGGCAATTACAGGTGCCCATACAGATTCTCCTGTATTGAGAATCAAACCAGTATCTAAGAAGAGTAGTGAAAAGTATCAACAAATTGGTGTAGAAATTTATGGTGGTGGTATTTGGCATTCCTGGTTTGATTCTGACTTATCAATTGCTGGTAGAGTAATGGTTAATGACAAGAAAACTGGAAATGTTATTGCCAGATTAGTTGATTTAAAGAAGCCTCTTTTGAAAATTCCTACTCTTGCAATTCATTTGGATAGAGAAGTTAACCAAAAATTTGAATTCAATAAAGAATCAGAATTATTACCAATTGCTGGTCTAAATATTAAAGATTCAAAAGACTGTTGTGGTAAGAATAAAAATATTGAAGACACAGAATTTTCATCTATTAAATCGATTATTGAAAGACACCACATTGAATTACTAGATTTAATAGTTAAAGAACTATCATTGGAATCTGTATCTGATATCGAAGATTTTGAATTGATCTTGTATGATCATAAACCATCATGTCTTGGTGGTATAAATGAAGAATTTGTCTTCTCCGGTAGATTAGATAACTTAACGTCATGTTTTACATCTATGCATGCAATTACAGCCGCTGCTGAAAATGGCTTGGAACAAGAAACTGGTTTAAGAATGATGGCATGTTTTGATCACGAAGAAATCGGATCCTCTACTGCACAAGGTGCCGATTCAAATTTCTTGCCAAACATTTTAGAAAGGTTAAATCAAGCTTCCACATACTCTAGTGGATCCATACAAACTTCATATTTATTAGAATCATCAGCTAAATCATTCTTTTTGTCATCTGATGTTGCCCATGGTATCCATCCAAACTATGCCAATAAATATGAGTCCGATCATAAACCCCAATTGGGTGCTGGTCCTGCCATTAAAATCAATGCTAATCAACGTTATATGACAAATTCACCTGGTTTAGTATTGATAAAAAAGGTAGCTGATGAAGCAAAGGTCCCACTTCAATTATTTGTAGTCAAGAATGATTCTCCGTGCGGATCCACTATTGGACCAATTTTAGCTTCTAAAACTGGTATTAGAACATTAGACTTGGGTAATCCGATTTTGAGTATGCATTCAATTAGAGAAACTGGTGGTTCAGGTGATATTGAACTGCAAATTAAACTATTTGAACAATTTTTTGTTGATTACTCAAAAATTTATGAATCTATTGTTGTATAAATAAGACAATGTCTTTAATAATTTAATAATAATATATAAACAATTATAATTTAAGAAAACCTTGACACAGAATTTAAAGTTTTGTAGTGTAATTAACTTTAATTCATGTGCAAAAATTCAAAAACTTTTTCCACGAATTTAAGACTATTGCAACAAAACAGAAATAAAAATTGAATAAAATATCTTGTATTCTTATATTCATATAAAACTTTTCTAAAATTTATTTATTATAATGCAATTCCAATAAAAATGAGGTTAATTGACCTTTAATGCAGGTTCAGCAACCAAATTTTCAAACAATGTTCTTTTCGGTTTTAGATCATCCGGTTTAATTTCAGTGCTTTTTAAAATCTTAAACGCACCAGTACCAATCGACATAGTTTGACCTAAAATAATACACTCCGAAACACCTTCCACTGCATCCTTCTTCATATAAAAGGCTGCATCGAATAAATGATCTGTTGTTTTTTCAAATGAGGCTAATTGAAGAACAGAATCTCTCATCTTACTTAAACCAAATCTCGTAATACCAAGAACTTCACCTTTATATGTCATAACATCACCCAATAATTGAATGTGACGTGGATCAACACTCATACCGTGGTTACTCATCGTGTAGTCAATTTCACCAATAATACTGGATCTCGCAGCTTCGATACCAAGCACACTAAAAACTTCCAAAACATGGTTGGTAGTAGTCTTTGAACCGATTACACCATCAGTGCACATAACTTCTCTTAAACCATAACCTTCGACTAATAATTCTCTCTTACCATCATCACGAATGTTAATAACAGCTCTTGCAATATCTGGTAAACCATTCACAACAATTTGTGGCAAAGCACGGCGTAATGTTTGCATCCTGTAAAAGACATCGTTCTCACTTGGCTCTTTCATGGAGGTTGAAATTGATTTTGCCTTTGAGCCTTCTGGATATACGCTGATGGTAATTTTGTCCTTACTAACAATTTGAACGTCTGTTGTTTGAATCTTTAATTTTGGAGCTCTAGTTAATGCGACCGCTATATCTTCAATAGTCAATTCTAATTGTAACTTGTCGATTGTACTTAAATCAATTTTAACTTCTAAGAATGACAAGTTATCTTTATAGACATCTTGAACATAATATGCAACATCGGACAATAACGTTTTTTCAATTCTACCTTTAACAACTCTTGCAGCTCTCTTATCATTATCGTTGACCAAAACAGCGTTAATAATAGGTGTGGAAATAACCTTTGAAGCATTAATAATTTCTTTAATACGAGGAACACCCAGAGTGACGTTCATGGAAGCAACACCCGCAAAATGGAAAGTTTTTAATGTCATTTGTGTACCTGGTTCACCAATAGATTGAGCACCAATTGCACCAACAGCGGTACCAGGTTCAACTCTGGCACGACGATATTTAGACATAGCAATTTCTAAGAACTTTTCAACAGTTTTTTCAGTAATCTTACATAACTTTTCAACAGCAAATCTTGCTTCTGAAGATTCTCCTTCGTCTAAGTCCATTTCCTTGAATTCATTACCAGGTTCTGATGATAATTCTTTCAATCCCTTGTCTTTTCTGATAGAGGCTAAAATGGATGCCTTCTCCTGCATGTACTTCCTCAACGAGCAATAAAAGTTTCTTTCAGAATCTAATTGATCGACGAATTCATCTTTGGCTTGGTCATTGGCTTTGACAAGCGTACCAATGTTATCATATCTTATTAATCTTTCTTCAAATGGTGCTAATATATCATTAGTCTTGTTAATAATAGCATAAGGCAGCAATCCTTGAGCTGAGTTATCAAATGTGATATTAATAGCATGATCCCATGATCTCTTAAAATTGACAGGTTGTGCATTACCTTCCATTTCTAATGGGTCCAGACCATCACCACCGTAAGTAAATTGTACAATACCATTTGAAGAAGTACGGACTGTATTATCATATTGGCATGATAAATCTTCCAAGGATTTCATCAATCTTCTAGACATGTAACCGGTTTCGGCTGTTTTAACAGCAGTATCAACTAAACCTTCACGACCTGAAATAGCATGGAATAAAAATTCTGGAGGAGAAAGACCAGAGAAGAAAGAATTTCTTACAAAACCTTTAGATTGTGGGGTTTTAGAATTTTTTCTGAAATGAGGTAAAGAACGATCTTGGAAACCATCAGGCACACGATTACCAGAAATAATTTGTTGACCAACGACAGCAACCATCTGAGAAACGTTTAAATTCGAACCTTTAGAACCACAAGTTGCCATGATCAATGGCGCATTAAGATTATCTAATTCATTAATACAAATATCACCAACTTCTTCTCTAACTTTGGATAATAAACCACCAATTTTAGCTTCTAACGTCTGTTCTTCATTACAACCAGGTTGTGTTTCTAATTTTCCTTTAGTAAACAAATCAATCAGTTCATCACACTTGGCATAGGCAATCTCTACTAATTCTTCTTTTTTTTGTTTTAATGCATTATCTGGAGTAACGTCACTAATACCAATAGAAAAACCTCTATTACCTAAATAACGGGCACATAATTTAGCCATTCTATTCATGGCATTAGCAGCTTCTTGTGGCCCATAATCTCTTAATATCGTATAAAATACAGAATGTTTTTTACCATCACCTAACACAGACTTATCCATGACACCACTTAGAATTTGAGATCCTCTAATAACGACGAAACCATCATTTTGTGACATTTCATTTGGCAAAGATTTTGATTTTGGTGGAATAAAGACCTTATTCTTGGCATCTAAGTTAATAACAACTGGAGAGTCCTTATTTGGTTTAATTAATAGGGAAAACAGTTGCTTACCAGTCCACAAACAATATGGTTTTATAATAGTTGGTGGTGGGATATCAAATTGAAGATTACTATCAGACATCATAGATAGTAATTGTGTGAAAGTAGCTCTATCCAAAAAGGTATCCTTATGCGAGATCAGATACGAACCAGTAATAAAATCTTGTGTAGCAGCAATGATAGGTTCACCAGATTTTGGAGTCAACAAGTTGTTTTTCACACCCATTAAATTCATAGCCTCAGCCCTTGCTTCTTCAGTTTGAGGGACATGTAAATTCATTTCATCACCATCAAAATCAGCATTGTAAGGTGTACAGACACATTCGTTTAATCTAAAAGTTCTCCATGGACGAATTTTAGCAAAATGTGACAGAATGGACAACCTATGAAGTGATGGTTGACGGTTAAACAATACAATATCACCATCTTCCAAATGCCTTTCAACAATATCACCAACACGCAATTGCTTGGCTATCTTTAATCTATCACCGTAACGTAAGTTTCTTCTTGCCTCTTCATTTGCCTTCAAAATATAGTTAGCACCAGGATGCACATTAGGACCATTAATAACTAAAGCTTGTAGCTTTTCTCTATTATAACGAGTTACCTTTTCAGGATATGTTAAAACTTTTGCAACACGATCAGGGACAGCAACTTCATCGATAGATAAATTAGGATCAGGAGAGATAACTGTTCTTCCTGAAAAATCAACACGCTTACCAGATAAGTTACCTCTGAATCTACCTTGCTTACCCTTCAAACGTTGACAGAAACCTCTAATTGGTTTTGCTTTGGCACCACCACTAGAAGCACCTGGCATCATAGAAGGATTAACTGAATCCGAATTTATATACATGGCAACAGACAACTGTAAATAATCCCAATGTTCCATCATATTGTTAATTGAAATACCTTTCTCCAAACCTGCTTTAATCAATGAAGAAGTCCATACTATTTCAGTTAGCTTTACAGTCAAATCATCTTCATTAGAGGCTGGAGAATCTTGCATCATAACGGAAGGTCTGATACAGACAGGAGGTGCTGGTAAATACCTCCAAATATATGTTTCTGGTCTACCAGCTTTTACAGTTGAATCTATACCTAATAGTTCACAATCTTCGGGTCTTATTTGTTTGAATAAGTTTAAAGTTTTTAATGGATTTAAATCATCCATAGAACGCTTAGCAAAACGCTCTAGTTCAGGGTTGTTTGCCAATACCTTTTCCCAATCACCAACCCATTCATCTTTTTCTGGTGATGATTTTTTACCAACCCAACGGAAAGTATCATGAATAATTTTTAAAGATGCTGAACCTGAACCTGCTGCCGCTCTTTTGACGACACCATTCAAAGCGCCACAAGTAAGACACCTTCTTTGTTTCTTACATTGATCCAATATTTTTTTAATAATGGCCATTCTCTTTAAATTATCAATACCAGGACGACGCAATTCATGTAAAAAGTCTCTTCTATCGGTATCATTTAATAAAATTGAAGAACAATTTTTACAAATACCTTGTAAGATTTGAATAGTAGCTTTAAAATAACCTACATGAAATACAGGTAAAGCCAATTTAATATGACCAAAATGACCATGACATGAAGCTAAATTACCATGACATGTAGTACATTCCATGCTTGAGGAAGATACTCCCATTTTTGGGTCTAAAGCACCACCGATTTTTGGAGCACGACCATTTTCTAAATCAAATAAATCACGAGTGGAAACTTCAACTTCTGATTGAGCGACAATATCAGATGCACTAAGAGCACTGAATTCTAAACCACTAATCTTTTTTGGTGTCTCACTTACAACCACTTCTTTCATAATTGATCTTTATTGAATATATGAATATATGTTTATGGTTTGACACGCTCTAATGTCTATTTGAAGCAAACAAACTTAATACACAGTCAAAAAACAAACCAAAGTGCGACAACCACTTTCAATAGATATGCTTAACCTCAGATCGATACCAAATTTAATTTTGAAGCTAAGTTATAATAATAGCGATTTCAATTATGCTGTTAACTTTGATTCGGTATAACTTCTATAATAAATATTTTCCCTCAAAGATATAGCTCTTATCTCAACTTAAATACAAAAGGATTGAAGGTATCCACAATGTGTCTCAGAAACTCTTGATTTGCTAAAACTTATATATAACTGAGTTAATTTAAGTTTAATCCTGGAGGTTCTAGCAGACCTCATCGAATTTTTTTTATCTTTGATGTTAAAGATCAATTTTTCAAATCAAATGTTAAGTTCGAAATTGTATTATTTCGAGACTATTTCGAGGTTACTTCATACGAACCTTGAAGGTGAAGAAATATGTGTCACTACAAGAATGTTGTTACATGCTATTAACATTGATATTTAAAGAGATCATTGTATATTATTGTACATTATTGTATATTATTGTATATTATTTAGTATCTTACTTTATGTACATAAAAGATATATAGAAATTTATTATTATTAACAAGTATATTTACTTTAACCTACAGATCTCCACCCTTAAGATCCTATAGAATAAACGCCTACCAGCCTTCATTCTAACGTATACTAAATTCAATATACAACTAAATAATAATAAAGGCCAAATAATACAAAATTTGTTAGTCACGTGCTAATGGTAATAAAGTAAGAATATATATATAGGAATACACTTCGCTACCAAAAATGGCACTTGATAGTATCATAGACGTATAATTGAAAAATACAAATACTAAACTAATTCTATTCAAAAGGCAAATAGAATTATAGCTATATTAAAGCCAATTTTATTGTTGTCAAGGAACTATAATGATGTGTTTTATAGCACCTGCTATGGTCATACATCTCTTAGAATCCGTCGTCATACCCACATGACTTAGACTATATCATTGTATACGTAGATTTAGCTCTACTGTCTGAGTATTCAACGTATTATGGGATAACAAAGCATCGATTGTTCAGAATAGTCACGTGTTATATTTTAGGGAAATCCAACAACTGCGACAGTGTCCAATTTAAGTAGGTTAAATAGTTAATCTTGGCTTGGAAAGTATTTTAATTCTTCAATGGTACAACCATTGATCTAACCTCAGAATTAAGAACTAAAATTAGGTTTATTTGCCTTTTCCTCTCCACCACTATTCCTTCATTATGATTTCAAAAGAACGAATATAAATATCTTAAGCATCATTGACAACTGTATTGGATATCTTTAAAATGATAATAATTATATTATTGTTTATATTACACAGAGTTATATAGAATAGGGTTATTTATGCTTCATTTTTTTTTCCTTTCTTTTAATCTTGTCGACTAAATTTGAAATATTTTTCTTTTGATTGTTGTCGTTAGACGATAGATGTTTTCTTTTATTGTTCGATTTATTCTTGTTAGAACGTCTTGAACGTTCCTTCAGTATCTCCTTCATTGCAGTGGTTTCTTTGAATTCAGATTGTGTTGGATCAATTGCAAAATCATGATCTTCAAAAATTTCTTTGAATCTAGGATCATTCAAATCTGGTTTAAAATCATCTTCAACAATTTTATTCTTATCTTGATATTTGGATTTTTTACCTTTTTCCTTTTCAGATCTAACAATTTCATTCATATTAAAGTGTGCTTTCTTGTTCAAAGTACTGGTAGATTCAGTTTCATCATCCATCATCAATAATTCTAATTCAGCTTTTGCCTTGGCGTCAACATTAGTGTTTTTCCCATTACCATTTCTCTCCTTTTTAAGTTCCTTCAACTTTTCTTTCTTCTCATTTTCTGACTGTTGTTTTAATTGCTTTAATTTATCTTTTCTAGCCTTACGACGTTCTTTTTCCTTACGCCTTACTTTTTCGATTGTTGTTTCTTCATTATCTTTATCTTCATCACCATCTTCTCCTCCTTCACCTAAACCTGGAGTAAATGTAATTTCCATATCAACATCATCTTCTTCATTATTATCACCTTTGTCATCAAAGATAGATTTATCACCAATTGTGGTGGATTGACTAACTAGAGATTTTAATTTATTTTTAACGTCATCATTTGGTTCTTCTTCTGACTCATCACTATCAGAAGCTAAGTATGCTTTGAAATCCATTTCTTCAATTTCCTTTTGAGTAAATGCTCTTTTAGCAATTTCGACTCTATCAGCAGGAGTTTCATCCCATGTCAATTTTACGTTAGAGTGTTGCAATGCATCAGTGGTAAACTGTCTGACTTTATAATTCTTAGGTAACTGAAGACATTCATCTCTTGGTTCGTCGTCAAATTCTGTACCATCTGGCACATACCTTAAATCAAAAATATTGGCAGATGATTCGTATTCTGTACCATCACAGTTTTCATAAATAGACTCCGCAGATGCTATATTATTACAATAAACAACGGCGTAATAATATCTTAATCTTTCTAATTGATATTGACGCAAAGCTTTAGAATCAACGTCCTTTTCAGCATCACCTTCTTCATATAATTCCCTAATATCGACATCAGAATCACTTTCGTCATCTTCATCGTCATCTTTAGAACTTTTTTTTGAAGACTTCTTATTTTTCTTTTTATTGAATAGTTCTCTTGGAGGACCTTCAACTTCCTCTCTTGCCATTCTTTCTTTACCAAATTCACTTGGATAAATACAAATCTTTTCAATTTTACCACCTTTTGGAAGAAAACTGGAGAAAGTAATCATCAAATCTTGAGACTTGACATAATCCCAATCAAGATTGACAACAGCTAAAGTCTTTGAAGAATCACCAGATTCTGGTTTTGAAGTCTCAACTTCATCTTCTGATTCTTCATCACTATCAACTTCACTTTCACCGGATGATTCAGAATCAGATGAAGTAAACTCTTCAGAAGAACTCTCGTAATCACTTGGAACTTCACCACGAGCTCTATCAAGAACTTTAACCTTAGCTTCAGTGCCAATTTCTTCTTCTTTGTCTTCTTCATCTTCTTTTTCGAAATATTTATCAAAATCTTCTAGTTCTTTGTTATCCTTAACATCTTTCAACTTTCTACCGTATTTGTCAACCTTAGACTTATGCTTAATTTGCAAATCTGATTTGTCAAAACGATCATCTAATTTAATCTTAATGTTCTTTCTCTTTGAATTCTTAAACTTTGGATCAGAATAAATTCCAGAGAATCTAGGATCAGAACTCTGTTTCATCGAATCTTCACCACTCATCGTTGCTGATATCTAAAAATTTCGCACACTTGTCAGATTCTTAATCACAATACTTAAATTGTTATACAGAATGTCAAAGTACCTACCAACTTAAAGCTTTATAACCTTTACTTTTATTGTTAAATCTTATCTTATTCTTGAGATGAGATGAGATGAGATGATGAGCTTGGAAATTTTTCACTTAAGCGCTACGTATATAATGATCGATTAATTATTTTAAAATTGGTATATCAAATTGGGGGATAATAAAGGTTATAAACCTATAAATGTATATCAAACAAGTGATGAACCAAACCTTATTAATTGCTAGAATTAAGGTCCTAATTACATATCAATAAAGTATTACATAGATACATTTTTGTTTTAGGAAGCACGCTTTAACCGGTAGATGGATATATTTTGGTTGGGGTCGATTGGTGACAAATTAGGGTAGGAAATCCTTGTTGAAAAGATCGATTTGAATTTAAAACAATATTAATTTAAGATCTATTACTGCTGATTTCAGTACAAATAAGAAGGTCTTGTGATAAAAAGTTTAGTGTTTTTCAAATTCATAGGTAATACAACAAAAGCCCGTCAAAACAAGTAGATTTACTGTTATTACCGGGAGAAGAAGATGGGACAAACACCTTCTGTTGAGTCTCAAGAGTCAAAAGAAACTAAAAATGAAATGCCAGAACTTAAATCTAGAGAAGATATATTAGACTTCTTTAATAATAGATCTCTGTCTATTTTGTTGCCAATGGAAATTGAATGCTTCAAAAGTAGACTTGGCGACAAAGATCTGAGCGATCCCCTTACAAAAGATGAATTTAATACACTTTTACGTATTGCAGATTCGAATTCCCAACTACAAATCCTGTTATGGAACTTCTTCTTAAAAATATCAGCATTCCCTTTCCTTTCTAATAGATCAGAATCAATGACAGGGTTCGGTATCTTAAAAGGAATTATTCTATTAACAAGGGAAAGGATCAAGAAATATTTGGGCTGGAGTAATGCAAAATTAATAAAATTGATATTCATTGGATTAACCTCTCAGGAAAAAGTAGGAGTTAAAACGGAAGCATCGGTTTTCAAAATACAACATGTTCTTGACACCCTTGATGGTATAGATTTAGCTTCCAGTACGGTAAAAGACACAGATATGCTATCTTTTATAACCTGGTTATTGTTGCTGTCTGTGCACTGCCCTACCAGTAATTGTAAATTAAACGAAAAATCTCTATATGATAAATGGAAAGATTATGAGATTGTGGCATCAAGTATGGTGAGATCTATGAACAAAAAAATAACAACAACAGGAAAAGGAATAGGTATTTCCTATTCAGATTTTTCTCACACTATAGTTGCAGTATCTAAGAATGTTATGAGCCCTCTAGAAAATATAGTTGAACACATGTTATACAAACAAGATGATCTTTTAGAATTTCCATGTCTTGATACATTTTTAAAAGAGACTAAGTTAATGACTTACCCACTTGTTGCTCAGTTATGTACAGTACTACCTAATGAGATAGTAATGTCTCAATTACAAAAATTATATGTTGGAAGAGAAAGTGGGTATTCTATGAGATCTTTACAATCAAAAGTCTTCAATTGGAAGGCAGCCACAATTCTTCTTGTAAGCGGTACACGAATTGTAGATGATATTGAATATTCAGAAAATAAAAATCCAAGATATAAACGATTTCTTGAAGAATATCCCAAATTAAAAGACGAGGACCAGGAGATGGATGATTGTCATAATCTCAAGAAAAAGGTAACCTTTGCAGTCTATATAGATGAACCTTGGAGAGTCACTAATAAAAATTATTTTGGAGAGAAACGAACATCAATAATTGAATTAAGTCCAAGACAAGATAAATTTAATTCTTTAAAGGTAGGATCGGTGTATTTTAATACAATTGGCGGAGGTATAGGAATTGGAAATAATCAGCCAGTGACAAAATTAAATTCTGTAAGATATGCCCCTGGAAATGTATCATTAACACTAGATAATACGTTAGAATTTGGTGTATTCAGGCATACCGGTTATGGAGGTACAATAGGACCAAGTGAGTTACTTAAAAAAAATAATGAGGAGAACAAAGCTTTCGAAATCAGATTTCTTATTAGAGATGTCGAAGTATGGGGGTGCGGTGGTGAAAAAGAATTGGAAGAGCAACTACGAGAATGGAAATGGGAAGAAGCAGAAGCCAAAAGACGCCAAGAGATAAATTTGAAGACAATGGGAGAGGACAGAGCATTATTAGAAATGGCAGGCATTATTGGTCAACATGGTCAAAGTGGGGGCTCGATTTAGTAAAATAATTGATAATTGGGTCGAGACAGAATTAACATAGTCAAAATAAACATTAACAATTAGCTTTATTAATAAATAATGATCCTATTGATAGTAATATGAAGTGTACTAATACTATTTGGTCAAAGATTTAATTTAGGAATTAAAAGTACTGACACCTTAAAAATGAGTAAGCTTTTGTGACTATTTCAATGCTGGCACTGCAGTAGGGGATGTTGGCCAAGAAGTTTGACGAAATGGTTCGTTCAGATTGAACTAGCTGTAAACCTGGTTTATTAGATTTTCTTGATAAGGAATAGTTACTATCTTTTCGAAAGCTACTATATTTTTTGTTGTTAGGAATACCATTTCTCTGAAAAGTCAGGGGGGAGGCCAATTTCCTTGTATAGATTTTATGAATCATTAATCATCTAACAGTTTAGCCATGAATTAAATTTAATGCTAGAGCGCAGTTATTAGACTAAAAATTCTACTTTATTACCACAAACTAATATTGATGTAAGTGTAGTCATGATAAATCTCTGGTATCTCAACATTCAAATACTAACTAATAATATTCTAACTTCGTTAATCGATATCTGACACTTCAATTTAATACTTCCTGTTTTAAGATTAATATACATTGAAATGCATTATGGTTCAAGTTGATCTATATTATACCAGGTAAACTTATTAAACCATAAATACCCAAGTCAAAATATAATATAAAAGTGTCGTTCGATTTAATTAATTCTAAACCTATTTTAAAACTGAGAAAAGTAGTTTCAATTTCTAAAGTTGTACTGAACATCGTTTTATTTTCTAAATAGTATACTTGCAGATCTGTTTTACCGCTTTGAGTTCTGCATTGAGGCATCGATAATACAACTAACTGCAGGAGTAAAGATGTCTGTAAGGTTAAACTGGATTCTGGCACTTGACGAAGTGAAAGGTTGTAACTATTGGATTGTAGAGTACTGAATAAAGAAACCATATTAGTGATTTTATCGACACCATTGAAATATCAGGCTTATGTTATATCGAGCTGTTTTTGGTTCATTGGCTATTAGTACTAAAAATAGCAGCCTTTATTCAAAACAATACATTGTATCTACCAAAGTCACAAATAGGAAATTTGGTATAGAATGGAATTTTATTAAAACTCAATAAATTGTTCAAAATTTACCAGAAACTGGATTAGCTAAATAAGTTGACGCATCTAGCCTTTCGATTGGAAGTTTGGAAACTTTGAAGCAGACTTCCACTACTGGGTTTATTACAGAAGTTAATTAAACTAAAAATCAGGGGTTGAACCCATCAAATGATTTAGTCAAGTAGTGCAATGGCAATAGTGCTATTGATGAAAAGCACATTTTATTGGATTGTGCAAGTGCAGCTTATATTTTTGACATAGTTGTTTTGGATCTAGTTAAGAAATTAGGTATTGCTGTAGTACCAGAATTAATTTTATGGCATATTCAAAGGGATTATGTTGTTTAGCAAAATCAGTTACAGAATCATAGAGTGTCTCAAATTTCAAGATTGCTAAATAACTAGGAGAATATTTTGATGTACTTGTATATATGGCTAATTACGAAGAAACAAAAAGTGTTAATCTTGCTTTTAACTTTTCTCATTATTCAAATACATCTTTAGTTAATTAATGCAAAATTTCAATTAATATTGTAAATATGTAGAATAAATTAGATATAATTTTTTAATTTGGTATTTTAGTAACAAAATGCAGAATAATTAGAATGATATAAGTCTTTGAAGTACTTTACTATTTTTACCCTGTAATAATAAAACTATATCATGTATGCTATATTTGACTGTTTCTTAAATCAGAGTGAGAAAGTTACTATCTGTTCTTCCTAAATCTGAATTTTGGCATATCTTCATCGTCATCGTCATCATCGTCATCATTATTATTAATAACTTCACTGTTTTGATCAATACCAATTTTATGAACGCCGCTACTATTTTTTTCAACTTGACCGTTTGAATTTTCCCTATTGTAGTTAAAGGATGTGTAAGATGACTTGGTCATGTATTCTTTACCAGAAGATGAATCTGATGATTTATTACCTCTGTCCTTATAATTAGGAACTTCGAAGTTACTATTGGCAATGGAATTCTGGGACATTTCTTGCAAACCTTTGTCATTGATCATATTTAATGAGTCTTCGTTTATACTCTCATCCATTACAAATAGTTGTTTTGATGATGAATTTCTAGTGAACGTAAAAGATGGTTCATCTACGCTATCGTCACTAGAGTAAGCTTCTCTATTTTTCTCAACTGGTTTTTTATTTACCTCTATATTAGAGAAATCTGTCATCTCATTTGAGTTTGAATTATTATCTAATTTCGAATACTGTTTCATTGGTACAAAATTTCTTGTAATTAGCATGGCTGAATTTCTTATAAATGTAGAACAGGAATCTGCATGTTGCCCATTTCCTTGAGATCTCTTATATTTTGGGACCATTTTTACAAATTTTTTAAAGTTTTTCTTGCCAGACCAATCCATATTATTCTGATTGGAATTTGCTGGTTTATTTATATCTAGACTCTTATCCTTGAATAATCTTGTATTGATATCCACAACAGTTAAATCGCTGAACTTGTTAATTGCTTCCTCTGTTAACTCGTTTTCCTTTATTTCCACTATAGATGTTTTTACCCTCAGGGTTTCTCTCTCTTTTATGTCTTGAATGGCATGTACTAGGTCAACTGATGGTCTTTCTATCCGTTCATCAGAGGTATGTTTATAATCAGTCAATGTTTTCTGGCGAACCTTCCCATATTCAATTGCCTTAGTATTACTTTCCTTTGCAATTTGAGTTTCAATTAATACACTACTTGTGTCTGAAGTTGACTTTACTTTGTTAGAAAGCAGTTGTTGAATAGAAATATTTTCTTCAAGTTTAGGTTTTTTAATCTTTTCTGGTGATCTGTCAATTGCAACCTGCATTCTTTTTTCCAGTTTGTGTTGTACATCGCTCTTTGGTTTCTTGAATTCTGATGCAGTAGATAGTAATTCACCGTTTCCTGACTCATCCATTTCAGTTTCTATATTTATTTCCCCTTTTCCCTGACTTTTAATAACTTCTTTATCTTTTTTTCTAGTTATGTTGTTAGCCTCTTCAACTGGCAAAGGAAGTTGAGACGCTCCTATTGAAGTGACACCTCCTGCAAAAAAATTCAAACTATCTAGAGGCTTGACTCTTGAACGATTTAAACGACGTTTTTTAGGTTGAGGTTCATAAATTTCAACATTTTTACTTATAGGTACCGCCTCAGTTGTCTGTTCCACTCCAACTTCTTTTAAGACAGGTTCTATTACATTTTTAGATTCTTCTTTGGATCTATTGATTGATTGACCAAAATCAAGATCTAAAAATAATAACTTATCTAAAAATGATTCTAAAGGAATTGAAATAAATCGTTCCAACCTAGACTGATTTTCTAATTTAGCAGAAGATAACAAGAGGAACTCGCCACCTTTGAATTGAGTTTCGAGATAGGTCTCCAAATCATTGATATTTAAAAATTTCCTTGGAATACAACCAATCTCCTCCAAAAACTTTTCAAAATATTCACAGTTGTAAGACTCTGGATCAAGTAAAAACATATGCATACCCTTTAAAGATTTCGCTAGTTTCGTAACATTAATTGTATGGTTTTGAATATTTGATTCATGGCTATTAAGCTTGACCCAATAGCTGTCAAATTTTTTCGTCATTATTATATTATTTGTTAGGATATCTCTTAGAGTTTTCGAATTGATCAAAATAGTATCATGAATCATCGAATAACACTTCAAGTATTTATCACTAATAGTGGTAACGTCATTCTGAATTATCATATCCAAAGAATGTGAATTTTCAATTGTAGTCGGTTGGAAACCATAAGATTGCAACAAGTGTACCATATCCATATCAGTCTTCATATAATTGCATCTTTTAACCTCCCAGCTTAGATTTACCACTATTGGTGTAGTACCAATCTTCATTGTAACTAAATCATTCTTTGACTGAAAACTTAGAGTTTCACCATCTGATAAATATCTTTCTTCTACCATAGTAACTTTTCCAAGATTTTTCACCATAATACAATCCTTATCCCTATCCCATTGTATTGATATCTGTTGTCTTGATATGCTTTTATCATTTCTGACTGACAATTGATTCTTGCTCGATCTCCCCAAATAATATGTTTCTTCATTCCGTATGCAGCAGGATATTTTTTCCACTGAACCATCATCTAAACTATACTGATACCTAAGAACCCACATTGCGATGTATCATCTCTGGTCTCCTGGATTTACTTTCTTCACTTCTTGTACTATTAAGTTCATGTCTAGTATTGCATTTATTTCAACATTTTTCAGATATTTCTTGAGATGAGCTTTCTCGGATATAATGAAAGTAATTATTAAAAATATTTAGCTATAAATCAATGTGATTAAAAAATTGATGCGAACGTAACTTATGGTTCATTAGATATCTATATATAACTTCAGTAGTTCTAAGACATGTGGTATAATGCTATTAAATTATTGGTAATTAATTTTCAACGGCAAGTTTTGGATTTCAAACGAATTCCTTAGGAATCTGTCGTTGGACCGTCTGTGGAATTCTCGATAATTTTTGAATGGATATTGTTTTATGGTTATCTATCTTCAATTTGAATGAGCATGGATGATTTGAATCAGCTATGCTTGAAGAAACTAGACTAACTATACTCTCCATTGTGAATTTTAACCATTCCACTGCAATATTTGCATTGAAATTGAAATGACTTGGTGCTGGTGGAAGACTTGGATTATTGAAAGTACGGCATAAATCTTTTCTGTTATACCATACTAAATCTTCAAGAAGCCCGGATTGAGTATCTCTAATACCTATGACAATATCAGACTCGGGTATCAATCCAGTTTGGACCCATGTTTTGAGTACTTCTTTCTATGCTGAAAACATGCATTTTAATGGTGCAAAACATTTCAGTTCAGTGAACATGTTGGTTACATTATTGTAACCGTCCAACTCATTACGTAGTAGCAAATTAATGCTTTCCGTTAATTTACTCTCTACAACTGAAAATATTGGTCTTGCATTTTCAGCTATATCTTCTAAAACTAAATCTTCAAATGCAAAACCTGAATAACATATCTTCCTTGTCATAGGATTACTAGAGTTAAGACCAGTAGTGTTTGAATTACTTGAAGAAGATGCATCATCCTTGGATAACAAAATAATACCATTTTTCAAATATGTGCAGAGTAAATAGACACTGCAATTTTTTTCATCTTCAAACAAACTCATTACAATTTCAGTGATATGATGTCTTGGAGATAAAATGGTGTAATCAGCGTGTGCTCCATAATGCTCACCTCTATGTTCATTTTCCCAATGCCTTATAAAATCGAAACATGGTTTTGGGCTATCTAATACATCTTCTGGTAAAGGACCATACTTATCAGTCGATGCATACAGATCAGAACCAAGATAAGGAAGCTTGTATTTCTTTGAGTTTAAAACACTCTTTCCTGAGATGTTTGCTATATCTTTCTTCAAAAGTGGTAAAGCAGCATCTTCTACATTGATGAACAATTGATCCTTCTGAAAGAAGGCAACTGTTTTCGATTCTAAAAATAGATCTTTGGTTTTTTGAGGGAAGGACCTTGCATTAGAATGAACAAATCGATGAAAAGGAATTATATTAATCACATTCTTCTTTGGTCGCGATTTATTTTGTTTGACTTTACGTGATGGGTTGTCTTCACCTATCTTAAGATTGCTAAGCTGTGTTTGAACATCATTTATATGTTCATCCATATTGTAAAGCAAACACACACCTTAGTATACTAACAGAATAGGCAATTGAGCTAGTAAATTGAATTGTTAGGCATTATCAAAACATGATGTTAAAAAGTGCTTCATGTTAAAATGTGCATCACTATTAAATACGATTGTTCGTGTGTGTGTGTTTAAGCCCGACATCATAACGACTGTTACTTAGAGTTAGGCAAGACAGTGGATTGTCTCTACAAGAATTCCCACTAGGTCACATGATATCCATGGGATTGTCAGGTGATCACGGAAGCACCCTTAATATAATAATATACTACAGTCTAGTAAATAATTAACCTAAAACTAACCAAGACAGCATATATTTAAATCTGAATCCAAATCTAAATTTGAATATTTGTTGTTGTTCAGATGCTAAATTAATATCTGAGTTATTCATTATAGTGATTTATTCAAGATGATTTTGAAGTTATAATAATATTTATTTTATTTCTCCGTACTGTCTTATAAATGAACTAAATAAATATATAATAATAAATTGGACAGATAATATTTCGATATTCCAAAATAACATGTCCTTTTTATATGTTTAGATCCAATTCCAGGATCTAAGTATTATTAATCAATTCTTAATTAGTCCTTTGCACTTCACTACCGCTGATTCAATTGTATGTTATCAATTGCTTGGTTATAGTTTGTTTTTGTAGTTGCTTTTTTATAATTACTAATTATAATCACTGGTTATCTTTACTAATCATACTTACTTATCATGATTGTCGATTGTAACCTGACATTAATAATCATATTAACAATCTATTAAATTAGTTATATTCGATTGCGCCTTGTCATTACAGCAACTGTCAATCATTGCGTCATGACAATATCCTGTAAACCTAGGAATATATTACCCATATTTTAGGTCACAACAGCTGTCGTCCAAAACATTATTACTAAGCCGTAAGAAATCCTAATTTTTAACCAAATTCGTCCAATTTCCAGGAATTTAATTACATTCTTGCCATGCCTTTTTCGAACTATATAAGACCCATTGCCAATTTCTAATCAATATTGCCATCTTATTATCAAAGATTTATCAACAAACAAAAGATTGAATTATAATTTGAAACTAATATTAAAGATGTCTGAATGGTGTATCATTATAAATGATAAAAAAGGATCTAATAGATCAGAATTATTGTCACAACATTTCGCAGGCATCTCTCCTTTAGTTGAACAAGGTATATTAACATGTGGTGGTGCTATTTATAATGATGATGGATCAGTTGCAGGTTCTCACTTGCAAATTGTAGCTGACACCAAAGAACAGGCTTTAGAAGTGGTTAAAGGTGATGTTTTTGCAACTGGTGGCATTTGGGACTTAGATAGTATAGTCATTTATAAATTTGCTTGTGCTGTTCGTCAACCAAAATAGAATACTGATTGATAACTTTTTTTATTTAGTAGCTATGTAAAGCATTATTTATTTATTATTTAATGTATTTCTGCCATAATTTATTTCAAGTAATTTATTTTTAACTTCGTTTGACATCAATTCATCTTAAACCATATTGATGATTTATATTCTGTAATTCGTTTATTTAACAGTTCTGTCAACATCATATATATGCTCATCCATATTGTAATATGTAACAGACACCTTTGTATATGAACAGAATTGATAATTGAGTTAACTAATTGCATTGTTAAGTATCTTCAAAATATCATGTCAAAAAGTACATCATTACTAATACGATTGTTCGTCTGTATGTTTAAGGCCGAAATCATAATGACTGATATTTCGAACTATATAAGACCCATTGCCGATTTCTAATCAACATGGCCATCTTATTATCAAAGGTCGATCAACGCATAAAAGATTGAATCATAATTTGCAACTAATATTGAAGATGGTTGAATGGTGTGTCATTATAAATGATAAAAAAGGGTCTGATAGATCAGAATTAAGACCACAACATTTAGCAGGCATCCCACCTTTAGTTGAACAAGGTAAATTAAAATGTGCTGGTGCTATTTATAACGATGATGGATCATTTGCTGGTTCTCACTTGCAAATTGTAGCTGACACCAAAGAACAGGCTTTAGAAGTGGTTAAAGGTGATGTTTTTGCAACTGGTGGCATTTGGGACTTAGATAGTATAATCATTTATAAATTTGGTTGTGCTGTTCGTCAACCAAAATAGAATACTGATTGATAAATTGTTTTATTTAGTAGCTCTATAAAGCATTATTTGTTTATTATTTAATGTATTTTAGCCCTTATTTATTATTTCAAGTAATTTATTTTTGATTTAGATTGACCTCAATTCTTCTTAAACCGTATTGATGATTTATATTCTCTTATCCGTTTACTTAACAATTCTATATAGGGGTTAACCAACTACTTATCCATTCTCTGGGGGGGGTGATGCCCTAGAGAGAGAACTACGTCTTGAAATAATGTTGATTAATCTGGTTCTTCTCTATTTTAAATATTTTGTTAATTTATATCCTTATATATATATATATATATATAATTTTACTTACAGTGATATGGTGTTAATTTATTTTGATATTTAATCATAATCATCTATAGTATCATATCCATTTTTGAGAAAACATCGAAAACACCAGCAACAGCCTCCAGTTGTAATGCAGAGCCTGGATTTTGTGCAATCTCGTCTTCTACCAACTTTGATAGATTAATCGAGACTTTGATATCAGAAGCTTTATCCAATTTAAATGGGTATTGAGCAAATTCTGACAGGATAGATTCCGATCTTGCAATAGCATTGTCTCTCTTTTCATATTCTAATGAACTTAAAACATTTTCTAAAACATTTGCAGCATAAGAACTACAGATTAATGCAATGGTCCTTATAACTTTGTATTGGGTTGTTTCAGGGAAATATTCATTGTAATTCAACTCCATAGTTCTTGAAACTAATGCAGATAAAATTCTTCTCTTGATTGCTTCTTTACAACTTGTATCAGTTACTGGATGTGTAGCCATATCAAATAAGAAGAAATTTTTCATTTCGGTTCTTAATACACCTTTATCAACTAAACCTTTTGAAATTCTTTCTCTAACTTGTTTTAATTGATAATTAATCTTGAAGAAATTCCAAGTTTCACCACTCAATAAATCTATCCAATTAGCAATAGATAGAGGTTCGTCATTTTTCATTAATTGTAAAGCTTCATCTAGTAAAACTTCACCAGTTTTACTTCCATCTACGACTTCGACTAATCTTTCAGAAAGATCGAATCTTTTCCTGGCTGGATCGTCTAAAATACGTATTTTATTTCTTAAAGCCAACTCAATTATAATACAACCACGTAATGTATATGAAATGTTGTCATTCCAAAATGATAAATATCCATCTTTATCACCTAACCCAAGCAGGACAACTTCCTCCATCAAAGTTAACGTTGGTACAGTAACATCATCCTTTAGTTTAGCTTCTTCTGGATCATAAGCAATCTTTGTAGATTTAGATCTTTCTTCATCATCATTAGAAGATTCGGCTGTATCAGAATTGATACGATTTAATCTACGACGTTGCAATGATGACATTTCGATGCCAGCTCTACTAATAAATATGTCTTCACGGTAACGGCTAATTCAAAACCAAAAAGATCAATATATTAGATCAATCTCTTCCAAGTACACCCAATCTTAAGTTTATTCAAAATTTCAGCACCACTAGTTCGATCTTGTAAAATAGTAAATTATGATTATATTAAGTAACTAGTTGTTTTTTCTCATCCGGATTTCGAATATATTTTCCAGTCCGTCAAATCTTGCCAAAAACCAACATCACTAAAAACGAAATTTGAATTTTAGTTCTTCTTTTGAAACAGATCTGATGTCAGCAATTTAATATCGAACAGTCGATTAAATAACACCATTATTGTTTCGATGACCAACTGTTTTTTTTGTAAGAAATTGTTTAGTTGAAGATTAATACCATTTTCTAGGCATATAATGGATAGCATGCTATGGGTTTAGACACCCAGAGCATGTCAAATTAACTATACAAATTAACTATATTCATGACTAGAAAAAAAAGGTAGAAAAAATAAAATAAAAAAAAAAATAAAAAGAACTGAGGCAAAAAAAGTTTAATGAATTAACATATAATTAAAGTATCTATTTGGTGCAGCAAATATGATATTTGTCTACTTCATTTGTTGTGCTTTATTCATATCTTCTCTTTTCAAAGGTTCGACATCAAATTCACTACCATTTTTGATGTACACAAGAAAATACGGAGTAGAACTATTACCTTCGGAAAAATTAAATACTTCAATTGGAAGTATTTCTGTGACTTCATGATCGTTATATTTTCTCCATGTCCCATGATTTTTAAAATCTTTTATATATATCCAGTAATGGCCAAATGTTGCTTGTCCTCTATGAATAAATACTGCAAATAAAGAATATCCGTGTTTGTGAAATTCAGAGAATGCAGTATCAATTTTCGTCTCAACATCATTTATCTCTTTTGAAATCGTTCTAATCTCAACATTGTCATTTTTTTTCTCTAATTCTTTTTTAATAGTTATCAATCCTTTTAGACGCTTTTTCAAAGAAGCTACTTCAATCTTTTTCTCCGCTAATTTTTCATCGATATCGTTAGCATAACGATCTAAATATAAGCTTTCAGAAAAACGTAAAGGTTCCAAATCCTTGAAGGGCACTCCTTTTTCTATATCATAATACACACGTTGGATTTGTACTTGTAAGATTGTAGGAAATGACGAAATTGTTAAACTTTTTTTCACTTTACCATATTCTTCCATATCAAATACTTCATCCTTGAAATAAGTATCTAATGCGTCATATATATCTCTTGGCTTATCAGAGACACTCACTAGAAGTGATAAAAATCTTTCTCTCTTAGGATGAACTTTAGAAACTTCATTAAAGGGCTTAATTTTCTGTTCAGTTTTACCAAAAAACAACTGTTTGACCAGATCTACTTGTTCATTGTCTTCATCGATAGATATAGGATTTGATGCAGCCTCAATTTGAAAAAGGACATTTTCAATACACTCTGTCACATCTTGTTGTGATCCCATTTCTAGTGTTGTTTCCAACTGCGAGGAGCTAATCTTAGGGATTAAAGTTGGTAGATTAGTTGTAGAAGTTTTTATAATAGGTAAATTATCAAATGTAAGCAATGAACTTTCAGAATCGGAATCTAAACTTGAATCAGCATCGGAATCGGAATTTAGATTTGAATTTAAACCCTTAATGCTACTTGATTCTGATCCGCCATTGGTTTTGTCACTGTAATAATCATTTTTGCCAATTGCATTTTGAATTCCATCTCTAAATTCGATTGGAGTATCTGAAGGTGCAAATGCCAAATAGGCTAATTGCAATCTAGGACTAACTTTCCTTGATGAAGAATGTACCATTTCGCCATATAAATCGCGTAATTGATAAACAAACTGGATCGATCTGTGAAATTCAGCAATAGATAGATTTCTTCCTCCTACCCTCCGTTTCTCTAAGTTCTTCATTTCTCTCCCATCAAGTTCGATGTCATTAAAATTTATTAAATATTCTCTTAACGGTGATATTGCAAAATAATACTGTAATAAGGAATTCAAGTAGCACGTATTCCCAATATTATTTAATCCAACAGGCCAGCTCTTTGATGGTAAAAATTTAGGATTCACAATACCATATTCGATATAATTGTTCAACAATAATGAGTTTCTGTTTGAAGATATTACCATCATGACTTTCCTCAATGTTAATAAATTAACAGTATCATCTCCGAATGTATCATTGTTTACATCTATTCTATACCATCTCTTTTTAAAAGATAAGATTAATTCATTGTCACTATTCAATTCGCTTGAATCGATAGCTTGTAATGCTGTTTTATATTCAATGTTCATCGAATGATAAAGATTTACAAAATCCTTACAATTTTCATATAATGTATGAAATAATGATAAATCCTTTCTATCAATGGCAATTGTCAGTAATGCCTTATCCAAATGTTGTTTCTTGTCCTTCATGTCATTTATCTTTGTTGTATATGAAACTATTATAGTATCCGAATCCACACTTTCATGGATATTTAATGTAACAAAGGCATTGTCTGGGTTTTTATATGGTTCGTATTTGCATAAGAATTTTAAAATTGGGGAATTTTTAACTATTGACAATGATTTAATACTATTTCTCAGGATTGCATGATTATAATCAAAATTCTTGTCCTCATAATACGTCAGATATTTCTCCCATAAAACAGAATCTGAACAATTCGTGAATTCTAATTTATCCATTTTGAATATCTTCAGAGATTGGTTGAACTCTTCATTGCCAATTATTTCATTTTTATTAACATAATCCGCTAGATTTTCATATTGCGTCAAACATTGTGAAACAAATTTTAATGAATCAAAATATACTCCAATTTTATCTGGATTTAAAATTGTTAATATTTCATAGTTTTTCACTATTTCAGATTCGGTATACGTTGGCAGTATCGATAAATTTATGAATTCTGCATGCTTGGAATATTGATTAAAATTGTTTTGTGACAATATCGATTTATATTCCCCCAATATTTGTGACCAGAATGAAAGAGAGCTATTGATTGAGATGGTATCGACTACTTTAATGATATTGGTATCCTTACTATTACATTTAACTAGCTTTTGCGGAGCTGACTTAATTAGAACAAATAATTCTAAAAGACATCTTGTAAAAACATCGAATCTTCTTTTCTCTTTTTTTATTAAATTCAAGTTATTTCTCAAATTCATGAATATCAATGATTCATCCTCTTGAAATTTCAAGGAAAATCTTTCTGTTAACCAAGAAGGATTTAAACTAATCTTTATTGCTTTACTATCTTTCAGTTTTATTTCATCCTCACTACTATGAATATTATCAAAATTTTGTTGCTTATTAAAACAATACATTAATACCAGCAAAACATCTGTCTGAGTGGGTAGTTTTAGTTTATGGTTTGAATTCTTATATTTTTCATAATTGTTTAATACTTGAAGGTCATCCAAAATGATCAATTTATCATTTAAATTAAATTCAGATTTGAAAATTTCAACTAATACAACTTTATTGGTGTTACTAGAGATGAAAATGGCATAGTCTAACAAATTTGGATTATCGGGATTAAAATTTATAAAATCTAATTTGTCTTCTTCATTAAATTCATCAATGACGTAAAAATGCTGAATTGGAGTATGCTTTTTGCTTAGCTCTAATTGGTTTCTTGTTTTAATTGAAACTTTTAGGTGGTAAAATTCATTCTGTGACCAAAATTTTGCCATGCTTTCATAATCTAAGTTACTAGCGTCTTTGGGTTTATGTAGTATTGAAAAAAATTCCAAAATTTTATTATCTTGATGATTTGTTTTTGATTCATATTCAAATCGATAGTTAATTAGATTATTCTTGTTTGAGAGGTTAATAATTTTATACTCGGAGAAACTAGACCTAAACTTTGAATAATCTGTTGTTGGTAATCTTAGAATACCTTTATTTAAGCCCAGTTCTTTAATTTCATCTGCACTTGAATTAATAAACGATAAGTCTATTAAAATATCATCTATGATTCTATCTGAAGTTTTAAAAACTGCATTTTCTATCAATTGATCATATTTATAAGGTAATTCTATGTTATTGTTATCATTTTCCACCTTATTGTCCTTTGATTTATTCGATGTGGTTATATTAGGATTGATATTATTTCTCTGTTTAGAATTGTTATTATTATTTGAAACTTTTTGATTTTGGGAACGTTCATGGTGTTGGTGGCTATGACTTTGTTTATTTGGATTTATGATCAGAGTATTTTTAAATACTTTTCTCAATTGATATAAAGCATCTTTATCCTTTGATGCATCGGTACGGTTACCATTACCTAATTGTTTATTCCCTGAAGGCATATAAAAAGTAAGTTTAAATGAAAAATGTTACTTAACTTGCAATTTAAATTGTATCGTAGTATCATAAAATACAATTCTGTAGTATTTTTGTTGATATAAACTTGTTTCAGGATTTTAGCAATTTTGCCTTTTATTATACTTTACTTGAATTCAGTTTACTTTACTTTATTTTAATTTATCTTCCTTATTAATACGAGTTTAGCTCAGCCGTTGTGATAAAATTGGATCTAACTTTTATCCCTATTTTGCACTAATTTAGGTATTAAATTTCCAAAAAAAAAAAAAATAAAAAAAAAAAAATATGTGAAACAAAAATGAAAAAAAATGTAATACCATACAATACAATAAACTACAAATAATGAAACCCCCACTAATAGCTAAAGTTTCCAGTTAATAGCTTTTATCTATCTCTCTATACAGAATCACACCAAATGATATAGCATTTTTGTATTATGGGGGATGGTGAGGGTCAGAGTGGCTTTACGGGGGGATGTAAAAATGCAGTACAGTAAAAGGTAAAGTCTGATTAAAAAAAAATGGAGTTGACGAGTGGGACTGAACTCCACAGAAACATATGTACATGC